GATAAGAAACGTATGAAAACACAATAAAAAAAAGAAGAAACAAGTTTTTGAAAGCTGTATAACTTGTTCCTTCTTTTCTTATTATGTTTTCATACGTTTCTTATCCGCTAATTAATTTTGTATCTAAGTCTTTAGACACGTCACTAATAATAATGTGATAGTTAAGTTATAATTACAAATAATAACAATGTTGCTTGTTTGAATTCAAATATTTTTTATTTACTGTTGTGTTGTACATTACTATAATCTTTAGACACGCGTCCATTACTAAAAATATATTCTCAAATCTTAATGATTCTGCGAATAGGAACAAGTTTTTAAAAGCTGTATAAATTGGATTTTCTCAATTCATAGAACTAATAAGATTTGACAATATTTATAGTAATCGACGTGTGTTGAAGACTATAGTAGTGTACAAAAGGCAAAGGAAAAATATTTGAATTCAAAGGATTGAGGAACCCTATAACCATCAATTCAGTGAGTTTATAAGGATTTTTGGAAACAATACCTGGCAATTTCCATCACTTTTCATCTTCTTCTCGCTGTAACTTTCCCACTCCAATCTGAAAATCCAGAAAAAGAGAAACATATATTAGTCGAGAGTTTTATGGGGAAAAGAAAACCTGAACAAGTTTACAAGAAGAATCGATAAATACCTATCCTGAAGTCTTTCCTGATCAGTAAGATCATCCAAACACCGCGACTTAATCCGAGTGTTAGGCATCTTTCTTTTGTAGTTGGGATCAACGACTATATGAATGATTGATATGAAAAACTTGCGTTGATGATCTTAGATCGAAACAGAGTTTCTCACCTCTCACAGAAAATATTAGGGCTTGATCTAAGAACTATGGTTTACTTGAGATTTGTGGTCCTTTTATATACTACAAGATAAGGATGGTGTAAAAAAGGAAAAAGAACCAATTACTCAGATCATTTATACTTGTATACAATTTTTTTTTTGGATCAAATACTTGTATACAATTTAAATACATGCTTAGTTTGGTTTTGAATTTTATTAATTAATTTATAATATTTTATCGTTATGCAGTTAAATGACTTATAGTTTGTCATAAATATTTTACTGTTATTCCAATAGGTCGATGGATACCTGAGAGGCCAATTGGCTCTCCATTTTATTTAACTCCTAACTACCTTCGTTTGGGTGGCCAGTGAGTGTTTTTCATGATTTCTATAAAAAAAGGATTTTGTAACAAACTCAAATAAAGCAAACAAATAACAACAAGAGAGATATATCTCTCACATAAACATCACAAAATAATAATGATGTATGAACTAAACTAAACTTATACATAGATAAAATAACAAATAACGACCTAATTTTTATAAAACTCTAATGAAGATTAACCTATTTATACCCAAAAAACAAATTTAAGGCTAACACTCATTTCCTTTTTGTATGTATAGGATAAATACCTAGCTAGTTTGATCATGTGATAGCCAATTTCTCAAACATTTTTTTATGATCACATGATCTAATTGGCTAAATATTTATCGTATATACATAAAGAATATTATTGTAATCCCTAAATTGTTTTCGTATAATAGCTTAATCTTTTTAGATTTTATTTAGAAATATTATGTGGTCACTTTTTTTTTTTATCATTGTCTAGGTTTAGTTTAGTTCATGCGTTGTTATTACTTTATGAGTTTATAAGATTTTCATATGAGATATTGCTTTCTTTGTTGTTATTTGTTTATTTTCTTTGGATTGGATATGAATCTATTTTTTTTATAGAGATAATAATGGAAACATAGCCAAACGAAGTGAGGAGTTAGCGATATCAACCAAATCAAAATGGTTGATCTTAGGGAATAACGATAAAAATTTAACTAAAATTTTATCCCACTTTTGATATAAAATTAAAACTGTTTTCTTTAAAAATAGAGAAAAATTTACATTTAGCATCCAAATTATTGATAAAATTTGGTAGAAACCATGAATAGTTTATGGGCAAAAAGCAGTTCTAATATATCATTTAGCAAATCATAAAATTAAAACCGTTTTAACTAAAATTTTATCCCACTTTTAACTAAAAATTTAACTAAAATTTTATCCCACTTTTGATAAAAATTAAAACTGTTTTCTTTAAAAATAGAGAAAAATTTACATTTAGCATCCAAATTATTGATAAAATTTGGTAGAAACCATGAATAGTTTATGGGCAGAAAGCAGTTCTAAAATATCATTTAGCAAATCATAATTTAGATGTCATGTAACTAATTGTTCTTTAACTAGCTAGTTAATGAAGTGTTTTTATCACCAAGGTCATCAAAAAAATTTAAAGTTATTATCATCATGTCATACGAAAAAAGTGATGTCTTAAGCTTCACATCATTCAAATAAGAAAAACTGAAATAACTTTGTGCGTATATCATCATGGCATACTCTGAAACAAAATGCTTCCCTCTGCATATTCTTTATACAACAACCATAGAGATTGAGAGATAGAGAAACAGATGGTGTACAGCTATTTCACCATAACCTAGACCTATTAACAGATTTTAAAATCAACGTAAATTGAAATCTTTTTAATCTAGTGATTTATTAACGTAGAGTCAACATAAGTTTTGTAGATAGAGTCTTATCCATTACCGAAATAATTTTATTCAGTTTTTTTTTAATTCAAAATTGTCAATTGAATACCAACATATTTCAGCTAGAGTTTTAGTTACGGTCAACAAGAAGTAAAATCAATAATTGAATATAACAAATACCTCAGATTCAGTAAATCGACTAGCCTTTGTCGTCAATGACAGATGCACAACAGTTGGACCATGGCCAAGGAAGAAGCTGCGACCGATTATCTCTCGTTTCTCAATGCCTTCTCCCACTGCTTCTCATGCCAACACGAAGAAAAGATATGTTACTTCAACGAAAACAAATAATAATTGAACATGATTTATTCAAAATCGCTAATTTGATAACAACAAATTTCAGATAGGATTGAAGATTTGCAATTATTTTAAACAAATAATCAAATAGCATAACAAACTGACTTACATTTTCAAGTCAATTAAAGATCTGATTCGGTAGATCCCGGAAGCTTCGTTGGTCGGTGACAGATCCAAAACAGTTGGAGCATGGCAAAGGAACAACGTGCAGCAGATATAACTCCCTGACGTCTCTGATTAATTTTCTCCCATTTCCCAAAAAGCTTTCTCTAACCGCGATTCATGCCATGTGAACTATGGTGAGGAAGACGAAGAAGATTCCGAACCAAAGACACAAATTAACAACGTAAGAGATGAAAAAACCCTAAAAGTGGTGGTGGAGCAAGCCCTAGAAAGAGGAGGGGGGTAAGAGAGCGTAGAGATTAGGATTTGACCAAGGAGAAATGGAGGAATTTAGATCTGAAAACTATGCTTTTGTCTGGCCACGACAAGAGACAAGAGAGTTTGAGACTATGGTGTGCGCAGACAGAGATAGGCAAAACCCTACGCACTTATATATTGAGAGAATCTAGGAAACAGGCCCACAAAACTTCTGACTCTATCAGTGTCACCGCCTGACATTTCTAATTATTTATTAATTAATTAATCTAAAGTTCCAAATTGTTTCACTATATTGTTATGTTGACCCTTGTAAGATGACCAACAGTTAATTGTGTATCTTTCAGTTTTGACAAAGATACGCTCCCAATAATTTGATGCCTTCTCTTTGTTTGCTGTGTGGTTAAAGCCATTTTTTTTACGTGCAGCTTCTCATTGGAGGTGTAGAGCAACGAAACTGTCTCTCCTCCTATCCTTTTTAATCTATGCAAGATGTTATGTTTCCTTAAGGAACGAAACTCCAAACTTGATGCTCAAATTTCACAAACCTCCTTAAATTATAAATTAAGGAAGTGTAACTACTTGTTCGTGCTAAGCTCCTAGGAATGGACCGGGATCCGAGTCAAGGCTCAGAATTGTGGTTTATTCTTGCAAACATATTTCCCACAGTAAAGATCATGCTTCTCCTATGTTTCATCGTTGGCTCTTAGTTTCTACTTTCATATCTGTTTCAACTATATATATATATATATATGTGTGTGTTTTTGCATCAGCTTCTTGGTTTAATTGTTGTAAATTTCAAATGATGTCCCTGTTGAAGTCAAGAAGATGAATACAAGAAAAAGTGGGGGTCACAAGGCTACAAGCTAGACAAATTTATAACCAGAAAATATCTCTGCTTAATTCTCGGTTTGTGGTCCACACCAAAAAAAAAAACAAATATTTCGTCTCACACGTCATGTTGTCTTTTTCCAGTGTCAAAGGAGTACTAAATTAAATTCAGTGTTCAGTAGAGACTCACATGTTTCAGTAACAATTTTGGTGGCTTGCCACCTGCACGGGAGTTCAACTTTCTCGTTCCCTATTGTGGGACAAACAATGATAATAAAAATTGAGCTAATGATTCAGGTAAATATACATCCCGGATTTATCATTTTAAGTTAAAGAATGTATCAAAGTCGGCTTTAATATTTCTCTTTAAAATTTGGGTTTACTTTTAGTGGGGAAAGAATATATTTCGTTTTACCCTCCTCAATCCTGTAATCTAAAACAGATTACGAAATCTAATGGCTAATAGTACATTATTAATAGGTTAGTCGCTTGTTGATGATGATGATGCCGCTTGTTGTGTCTATGTTTCTTTCTCTCGCCTTGTATTTAATCTACTGGTTTTTGTTCCAATATGAGAAGATAACTCTTTTTGTCACCAGGGTTATCAACAGAACCAAAGAAAGTTATTATCACCATGGCTTTACGAAATGATGTCTTGAAGCTTCACAACATTCAGATAAGAGAAATTGAAATAACCTCCGCATATTCTTTATACAACAACCATAGAGATTTGAGAGACAGATGGTGCCAGCTATTTAACCATAACCTAAACCTGATTTAACTCTAGACCGAAGGACAAACTATTTATTCTCAGTCAAACTTCCTAGTACAAGCAAGCTAGCTTTAGCTTTAGCCTTGACCCTTGAGAGAGAACACTAGAATCTGCCATAGCCAGATGGTGGATTGTAGCAAGGTCTAATCGCCCCTCTAGGACCCTGAGGATCCACCCTTGGACGTTTAACACCAGCGCAGTGCGAAGATCGACCTTGGAACGCAGTTGAACCACCAGCTTGATATGTTCCCAAGTCTATAACCTGTGGATTTGGTGACGCACCAAGGCTTGTTGGATGGCTCGGGTTTGAGCCATGAGTAGTGGCAATGTACGAGCTGTGAATGACTGTCTGTGAAGCCTGGATATGAAACCCTGGAAGTATCTGCGGTGGTTGAGTTGGGACAGCTGATGAGACAACACGTTGGTTCTGATTCTGAATTTCCCGTGGAATCATGAATTTGAGGACAAGATCAACAGGAAGCTCGATTTCCAGCTTGAAGTCTTCAATGAGTTCGATTATGCTTCTCATTTTAGCAGCATCTCTGTCTTTGGCCTAGAAGCCAACATAGATTACAAATATAACCAATCAGTAACAATGCAATATACAGTTGTTGCCAAGAGATGGATCGGAGCAAGCTTTAACCTGTGTCTTTTCCTTGGCAGAGCGTCTAAGATTGACGATCTCTTTCTTTAAGAGCTCCAGGGGAGAATACTTGAGGCTCAGGTTGAAGGAAAATATAAATGGGATTGCCAGAAGATAATGGCGTCCGTTTATGAGCTCATCAACGAAATCTGCAAAGATCATAAAGAAAAAGAGTGAAACATAACTTCATCAGTCTTCTGTGTATGCACATATGTTAGAGAAGAAACTGTTTTAAAACTTACTTGGGATGGCGTAGCTGAGATCAAGAGATTGAAAGAACTTTGGAGCCTGTTTGAAATGGGCAACATGCGAGACAAATAGTAAAATTTCATCTTTACTGGTTTGTTTCACCAATCCATACGCCACAATGAATTGCAGAAAACCCCAAGCCTCGAACGGTGATATAGTACTAGTACTAGTTCTCATCGCCTGGCTCCATCGATGTGCCACTTTTGTTGCATCTGAATGTAAATCAGGGTCGATAGATCGACTTTCAACACGTGTCAGCGCCTCCAAAAGAGGAACCAAAACCTTGACTATAGGCTCTGCTAAACGCAACTCCCCTCTCTGATCAGCACCCTTGAGTTCATCCTCGACATAATCTAGAACAACCCTGCCTGAATTTTGAAACAATGAAAGACTCGCAGAGACTTCATTCGCTGAAAACGAAGCAGAGGAGCCCTCATGGTCCTTAAGAGCACCTTCATTAGCCAAATGCGTTGATGCTATGTTTTCTTGCACATCCGGGGAGCGAGAATCTCCACCATTGTTAAGTGGTGCTTCAGGGGGCTGATGTTCAGGCTTATCATCTAATGATAGGACACTGTTGACTGGCAAACAAAAAAAAAACCTTCAATAAGCATCACAAGACTATAATAGAACTTGACTTTTATATCTTAAAGGTCTAAAGTTTTATCACTATTATGGTTGTAGCAGACTCAGATATCTAGACTATATGGCAATACCAAAAAAGGGGATAAGTACATTTATGTTACTTCATACACAATTGATCTTCAGATACGTTACTTTAAAGAGAAAAGTCAATAGGGAAAAACTGAATCTGGTTATACTGAGAAAACGTACCAGGTGCTAGAGCTGATACTCCAAGAGCTTCGCATAGACTCGGAGCATATTTGCGGAGAAAGACGACATCAAAAAGATTCTGGACTTTGTCAGCGTCAAAACTGTATGCCAAACTGAGCGCAGCTAGAAAGTGCAGAAAACCCAACACCTCCACTGGATTCACTGCATCAACCAGAGTTGTGTTCTTCCATTCAGTGGCAAATTTGATAGCTTCTCCTTGTACTTCAGTCTTGGGTTTTGAAGACATATCCATTAAGCATTCCAGCAGGCAGATGATATTCCTTCTAACACTATTTGGATCAAGATTTGTTGCTGTTGTCCTTTGTTGAGAGGAGAAAAGCTCTTGTATTGTGTCTAACACAAGCTTTGCCGGGTCAGAAGATGCTTTGAGAGCACGTGAAACATCGAGGTGAATCTGAGGGCATTTCTTTAAATGCCCATGTAAGATTAACTGCAATGTTTTCTCGTCACATACACTACCGTCTCGTTCCAAGTCAACAAGTTGATCCGGGTTGCTTTGTTGACAAAAGCTGGCCAGTTTCTTTGCTTTCAGCTCACAATCCTTAACACATTCAGCCACCTTCTGTTCAGCGGATTTCAATTGCTGATCTTTTTTGTCAATCCTTTTCTCCCGAGCATTAAGCTCCTTCTCTTTCTGTCCAAGTTGTTGCTCACGTTCCATCAGTGATGCTTTCAATCTGGCTTGCTGCGACTGGAAGTCTTTCAAGCTGTCTTGGATCTTTTTCTTGACAGAGTTAAGATCAGTTTCTTTTGATTTGAGCTCAGCAGTAAGGTCAGTAATTGAGCTCTGAACCTGAACAAGCTGTTTCCTCTTAGATTCCAGTTCACCTGTGCATTCCATGATCGACTTGTTGATTGAAAAAACCTCATCTTCTTTCACCTGGACTTCTCTGACAAGTTTCTCTTGCATCTTCATCTCACTTTCCTCAACTTGTTTCTTTCTTTCTGTGATGCGAGACAGTAATGACTTTAACTCTTTCTCTGTCTCTCTAATTGTGTCATTCATGGAGCGAAGTTTCTTTCTCTTTGAATCATACTCTGCAACGCATCTTTCTAGTCTCTCCTCTTCTGTTTCTATTTTCCTAGAGAGATTCTCGACGAAAACTTCAGCTCTTTCCAATGTCTTCTCTTCAGAGACAATCTCCAAGGCTAACTTCCGAATAGCCTCCGTCATCTCATTCTGTTCCTTCTCTTTAGAAGCAAGTTCTTCATCGTGTTCCTCAATCAACGACTTGACTGAATCACAATAGGCACTGCGTTCCTGAATCTGCCTTTCAACGTTCTCCAACTCCTCAGCTTTCGATTCCATCTGTTGACTAATCTCCTTCAAGTCGCTATTTAGTGATATGACTATATCTCTCTTCAAGTCAAGGTCCAGAGTCATCTCTTGCAACTCTTTCTCTTTAGAAACAAGTTCCGAGGACAGCCTCTTAAGCAGCTTCTGCTCAGAATCTTGTCGCTTTTCCATCAATTCAAGCTGCTTCTCACATTCCACAATCTTATCAAGCACCACAGTGAGATCTTTCTTCTTTCTCTCTGTTTCCTCGTCCACTTCTTTCCAGCGAGTTTGACTCCAATCAAGATTCTCCATCTCACCTTGATGCCTCTCAAGATCAATCTTGATCTGTGCCAACTGCTCCCCTTTCAAGTCCAGATCACCTTGAGTCTTTATTAGCTCTGAGGATCGTGTCTTAAGCAGCTTCTCACATTCCACAATCTTATCAAAAACCACTGTAAGATCCTTCTTCTTCCTCTCAATTTCCTCGTCCACTTCTCTCCTGCGAGTTTGACTCCTCTCAACATTCTCCAACACTGCGCTAAGCACATCCTGATGCCTCTCAAGATCGATCTTGATCTGTCCCAACGCTTCCCCTTTCAGTTTCAGGTCACCCTGAGTCTTCATCAGCTCCGAGGAACGTGCCTCGAGCAGCTTCGAACATTCCGTAGTTTTGTCAAGAATCAAAGAGAGAACTTTCGTCTTCCTCTCAATCTCCTCGTCCAAACTCTCCTTCTCTCCGCTGGCCTCAACACGATGTCTCTCAAGAGCAGACTCCACCTTAGCCAACTGTTCCGCTTTCAGATAAAGCTCAAGCTGAGTCTTTCTCAACGATTCCACCAACTCAGCAATTTGACTCGACTTTGACCTTTGCTCAGCCGTATACTCTTCCACCGATTTCCTTAGAAACCCCAATTCCTCTCCTTTCTCTTCGATTTGCCTCTTAAAGCCATCAGCTTTCATCTCCAAATCACAAACCTGAGCTTCCGCTGCTTCAACCACTTTAGCCCTTTCTTCAAGTGCAAAGCTTTTCCTTTCCAACTCCACCTCCTTCGCCTTCATTTCCCTGAACCTCTTCTCCACTTTCCCTCTCGCTGATTTCAGGTGATCTTCTAAATCTCTCCACTGAAGACTGAAGATAAGTATATCTGAGGCTTTGGAGTTGATCTTCTCCAACTGTTTACCCAGATTGTCCGTAATCATCCCACAGAGGTTTAACTCATTTTCTATCTTAACCTCCTCCATTGCCAACAATTTCTTCAACTCCACGGAAGAGCTTTCAAAATAGGAAAAAAATCTAACGGAGAGACGAAAAACCTAACCAGAGTTCGCCGAAACTCTCTCCTTGCCGCCGATTTCCGAACCAGGAGAAGAAAATGAGAAACAGAGAAACGGAGAAGAAGAAGTAAAAACCCTAAAAGGACCGCCTTTTTGAAGTTTCCGTACGAAACCTGCGAAGGATCAACGGCGGAAACAAAGAAAAATTAGGGCTTGAGGGAAGAAATGAGTGTTGTAACAACAATCGGAAGAGGAATCCTTGCAATCGGAGAAATTGAAGAGCAGAAATCGAACCTTTTAGTGCGAAGTGAAGAAGAAAGGCAAAAAGCGAGAGGGTAGAGAAAGTAACAAGAAAAAAGGGTCTTTTTACTCTTTGTACGACGACGAGCATCGACTGTGTGTCTACCTCTTTGGCAGTTTTTGACAGAGTCACGTTCCCCATATACTGTAAATGTAAATTAAATGGCCTTTTCTTAATTGCTAATGAAAGTGTGTTTTGTAAATAATAACAAAAAGATAATCATCTGCTTTTAATTCTCTCGGTTCAAATTCTACCAACCTAACTTTAAAACGCTTCTAATAAAAACTAAACCGTCGACAACATCCAAGTTTCGAATTTGGCTTTTCTCTCTTCATTTTAGTGTTGGTTACATTAACCATTTTACAATATGGAGTAGTAAATTATTTTTTCTTTTGTCTGACACATGTCATGTGAGAAACCAATCATGACATTGCGCCATTTTCCAATATCATCAAAAAACTTTCCCATTTGAGCCAACATAGTGGATTATTGTTATACAATGAAAACGAAACCCAAAACTACATGGACTTTTTCTCTTTATTAAGAGTGTCATGTGGCCAATATGATTGATACTAACGTTTCAACCAATAACAATGTGCCATTTCAACCGATGTTCTCTTTACACTAAAAACTTTTAAGGAGTAACTTTGATGATGAGTAATCTTCTGGAAGGCTTTCCCTAATTTTCATGTTTAGTGATTAAAAGAAAAAAAAAACAGTGTATTGAATATAACTTTTTTTTTTTTTAAACGAGAAAACAAATGTAGTGGAGTAAAATTTTGGATTATACATTGCGATGGTAACCGCTCCAAAATTGAAAATATCCGTTTTACATATTCAAAAAACATTAAAGCGGTGAGAATATTCAAGTATGCCGCTTAAACACTTATATCCATTTGTAAAATTGTTGATACATCGCTAACATCAATAAGTGATATTTGCGACTGATATTGAAAATTACTCCTCATTTATGGTTGGCGATAATTAGAGAAAATAACAAAAAAAAATTATAAACAAATTCAAAGTAATATAATTTATAGATTTATAATTTATCTAAAATGAAAACTTTTAACCGTTAAAATAATGATTGGTTGGCGATAATTAGAGAAAATAACAAAAAAAAAATTATAAACAAATTCAAAGTAATATAATTTACAGATTTATAATTTATCTAAAATGAAAATTTTTAACCGTTAAAATAATGACCTAAATCATATACATTTTTCAACAACAATTAAAAAGGAAATAAAATGAAAAAAAAAACTATTAAAAAGTGGTGATTTTCTATTACAACAACAATGTTTGTGAGCTTCATGCAACATCAGTCGATGTCTTCTTAGCGAGCAATATCAATCATCCTCAAGCTTCTCCTCCAGGTCGATGTCTTCTTCTCTCCTTCCCAGCAACGGGTGATAACCCTTCTCTCCTTTAACAAAAAAGATAACCCTTCTCTCCTAGATTTCTATTTCGGTTGTATTACTCATCCGCTATGATTTTGTTAGGTAAGCATGTATAGAGTAAGTTGTCCCTTTTCTTTGCTCCTTTTGTTACTTTTTGGTATAAATCTTAACATTTGTTTTGGTTCTTTTTTACAGTATTCTCTTTATCACCATAGTACATGTTATCTCTCTAAATGTTGAGAAATGTCCATTTACCTATTCCACTGTAAATATATATCTGTTTCAACAGGAATAAGTACATTCACAATATCACTTGTACACACAACACAAGTTCACATGAAAAAATCATATTTTTATTTATTTTCTATCTCTCCTTTTTTTTTCGTGTTCAACAATATAAAATTTAATAACACTTTCATTATTCACAATAAATAAACAGTGAAAAAAATTGGCTCGCGGCAGGATGTGCCAAATCATTTACATTAAAATTTGAAAAATTCCAAGAGACCGTTTATCACTTGGATGTATTTGACTTATATGGTAGTCAATCTGATGATTTTGTTTCTTTGTACGTTTATTTGGTCACATCCACAAAACACAACTGTCTCTCTATTAAACATAGAAGTTGGAAAAAAAAATTTAAAATTTAAAATAAAATAAATGTCTTGTGTATCACTGGGCGGCCAGGATTAACCTAATCGTAGATATATTTCTTTTCATAGATTCTGTGAGTCACATAGGGGTGCGACTAAATATGTTAAGAAATCTGACAAAAAAGGCTATTTTTTCTAGGGAATTTGGAAACAAGAAAACCCCTTGACCGAGTCCAAATATAAAGGGAACCAACAACCAGATATTATACACCACCACTGATATTGTTAGATAAAAAAACACTCAGAGAATTATGGCACATCGTCTGAGCAGTCTCAGGGTGTACAAGTTTGATGTGCCTTATAACTCCGATGTCGGAGTTATATTAGTTACATCAGGTCTACGCTCAGAAGGTTGTCGATTTCCATTGACAAGATACACGGGACAAGCCGGAAGAGATTCAGAGGCTGGCTTGTCTCAATCTTTTGTAGACCTAGTTGCTGGTTTCTTCGAAGAGAATAGTATCAACATCACTGACCAGATCTTTGCCTACTTGTCCTCCAACTTCTCTTTCAAACATCTCGTGTCCGTTCCTCCCGCGTGTCCCGTCCTCGTTTTTCACTTCCATACCCGACAGTCGCATCTCAAAATCCATGAGCTTGATACCTCACCATACGATGTTATGGAACTGTTGAGACTCGGTGAAAATATCATGAGTTTCGATAATGTTGAGGAGAGGCTTGTACGAATCGCTCCGGCCACGTCGGAGATCGTGGATTGCTACCGAGAGCCGGAGTTGTGCTCTCTTTGTGGTGGAGGGTATCCAAAAGCTGAGGAGATTGCTCACAAAACGGTTTGTAATCACGTCTTTCATGGTGCTTGCATCTCAAGTCACTTGCTGAATGTTCCTCACTGTCCTGTTTGCTGGACAAGATTGCCACCCGTCGACATCCGAACTCTCCTCTTTTAATTATGAATTCATATTTTTGATTTCTGGTTAAAGGTTGTATTCAAGTTTTGATTTATACATTTCATGTTTTGTTTTTTGTTTTAATTTGAATCATACATTCCTTGTTTTGAAGTAGCGCTGTAAAACAAAATGTGCTCAACTAGTTATAAATTGTATCATGCGTTTGATGAACTTTTATACATTTGATGTTTTTTTTGTTTTAATTTGGATTTTATACATTCCATATGTTTGAAGTTAAACTGTATGATGCGTTGGTATAAATATATTTTGTGTTAAGAAAGATTTCTGAAAGATCTTCCTTATGATGCTTTAACAATAGTTTCATAATGTTATTATAGGCTTTTGAATTTAAGGCACATGATTCGTGTGACATGAGAATCAAATAGAATCTCTCACAAGATTCGTTGAAGCGAGAAACGACGAGAGGCTAAAACCTAAAAAGAGTTAATAATTTTTTCGTATTATCAATTTCCTCCTCAATATATTTTAGCAATTACGTTAAGGTCCAATAACTATCGCAAATTCGCTAATTTCAACCTCATTTGGTCAGAAACTTGTTTACATTTCTCAATCTATCCAACAAGTATCCAAATTTCCAAAATCCAGTCTCTCTCGCTCCTCTTCGATTGTATGTTCTCGTTCTACTACATGCTCTAGCTCTCTCTCTCTACTCTCTGATTCGTATCATACCATTGACGAAAATGCGGTTTCTCGGAGAATTAGCGGAGTCACCATTTCTGATTTCACGGCTACACCCAAATTCGCCGGCCAAAGGATATGGAGGCGGCGGCGGGTTTATCGGCGGTTGGGTCGATCGGTGCCATGGATTCCTTCATAACACGGTTCTCGTTGCGGCGTCTCTGTTCTTTGTCGCTTACTTAGCTTACGAGGCGAAGAAGAGCTTATCTAAACTCTCCAATCGGAGATCTTACATCATGATCGCCTATTATGGCTGTCTCTGGCTCGTTAGCTTGCTCAACCTTGCTTGGTGCTGCCTCCAGGTTTGTTCGATTTCGATTTCGATTTCAGCTCTCGAATTATGAAAGATCAAAACTTTAGTTGAATGAAACCCAATTTAGAAACTTTTTGGTCTTAAATTGTTCATGGGCATTGATATAGTGATCTTAGGATGGAAATTTAATGTTTTGGATGTTTCCTGATCTGAGAAATTTTGTGTTTTGGCATGTTGTTAGGGTTGGGAATGCACTCCTGGGAAAGAAGTGGTTTGGAATGTATTAACTTTGTTGACAACATCTGGAATGTTGTTCCTGGAAGTGAGCTTGGTGGCTTTTCTCTTCCAAGGAAACTATGCAAGCGGCGCAGAAGCGTTAACAAGAACGTTCCTAATCTCTGGGTTTATTGTTGCTCTCGATTTGCTTCTCAAGGTATCTAACTATCATCTTCCTCATGAGTCATGACTACTACATTTCTCTAAAATGACAAGTTTTTTAGTGTTTCAAAGTGATATGGCTGATGTTTGTTTAGGCCATTGCCATTTCTGTAATCCTTATGGGGTTTTTACCTTTCGTTCAGGCAATCTATCTCTTTGGGTTTGGCGTGCCGTTGTTTATTGACAACAATGAAGATATACGAAAGTTCAAGTGGGGATTATGGGTCATTCACAAGCTCATACTCACTGGCGTTTATGGGATGATCTTTTTGATGTACAACTCTAAGTGGAGAGAAAGATTACCTGGTAAGTTTATCAGACGCTTCCTTCTTCTTTTATAGTCACACTACCCCAATAATAGCCTTCACCGGTTTTCTTCTATTTCTCACCAATTTAACAGCAAGGCCTGCATTTTACAAGTACATAACCATCATGTTCGCCTTGTACGGAGTTTACCTAGTTGCAGCTGCGTTTACTGCACACGGAGCTCACTTCGGATTCTGGTAACACTCTCTGAAACCATCTCAAACGAGAGGATACTGTCTTATGTTCAGCTTTTATCAGCCTCAAAATGCCTGCAGGTTGTATGGGATCATGAGTGTCTGCTACCACGCTTCATACCTGCCTCTTCTTTACATTACCTTTCTCGCAGACTTTTTCCAGGTAAACTCACTCATCATTCATCTGTTCTCGCTTTCTCTCTCTCTCGCTCTCTTTCTCTAATGCTAATGGCGTTTGCTGCAGGAAGAAGATCTGAACTTGGAGAATGTATACTACTCAGAGATGAAGGATGCTGGATTCTTCGATTCTGATTGGGAGTAGGACTAGCGTAAACAAGCATCTTCTGAAACTGTAAATAGAAAGTTGGGTACGATCTCGTAGGAGTCCAGGTATTGCCGCTTTTTAGGCTTTGGTTTACTTTTCAGGGTTTAGCCTTTTAGTGTGTGTGTGACAGTGTGTCTGTTGTACTTGTCCCTCTAAGAAACATGCTTCCTTCTCTTTTTAATAAATGTAAGGTTTCTAGTGAATCTCTGTTTCTGAAATCGAAAACTTAAAAGCTTATGTGGTAGTCCAAAGGTTAACACAATACACCACTAAGGCAAAGACATACAAGCATGACACATTCGGGAAAAGACATGAAACAAAGACAAAAAGCCTCTGATTTTTCTTCTTCTTCTTCTTTTGGTTGTTTCTTGAACTAAGCGGCACTCGCTTGGAGTTCTTCAATGAGTTCAGCAGCGTGTTGGACTGTTTCTATCTCCTTGGCTCTATCTTCCTCCATTGTTACTCCGAACTCTTCTTCCAAGCCCATCACTATCTCAACCTGCAAAACAAAACTCTAATGAGTTTCGACATACTGTACAGTAAAAGAGACGATTGGTGGAGCAGTTGTGGTGGGTACCGTGTCGAGAGAATCAGCTCCAAGTTCGGTGAATTTGGTTCCGGCGGTGACTTTTTGATCATCGGAAAGTGACAATTGCTTCCTCACAATCTCAGAGACTTTCTCCACTGTCTCTTTCTTGGCCTTAACAACAAAAATACCTCACATTATCAGACTACAGGCTCAAGAACTCAATGACAAGAAGTTAAAAAAATGAACATACAGCACAAGATACTGTGAGGCGAGCAGGCATTGAACGTTGCAGGCTGAAGGAGAGATTAGTCTTTCCATTGTTGAAAACCGGAAACGGTTTCTGGAGACTGAATCTTGCTGTTGTAGCCTGTTGTTCATCATGCATCAACAACGACAAAGATTTTCATTCATTCAGAGACCAAGAAGCAATAACCAGAGATTTCTATATCCACAGCTAGGGACTTTGTGTTTCAAGTGATTGACAGATTACAAATGCAAGTGGATCTAATCAGTAACAAATGTTCACAATGTGAAAACGATAATTAGTATAACCGAGAGATGCAAAATGATCTATATAATAGCGAGCGTATAAGAGTATCGCCAGAGCAATAAGGAAAACAAGAAGAGAAATGTACCGAGAGACGAGGTTGCATAGAGATCGAGAAACTTGTCGCCATTATCGATCTTCACGCCTGATCTGATCGAGAGAGAGAAAGAGAGAGATTTATGACGGATTGTACAAGAAATGTGAATTCGAGTTGTTGTTTTATAAGCTGTTCCAGCTCAAAACGACATCGTATTAGGACATTCACTGGACACTGTGGATACATTTTGGGCCTATTGTAAGGCTTGTTGTGGAATCTCGTAGATCACGTGTGAGCCCAACTGAATATACTCGGAATGTTTTTTACTCGAGAGTGTTGTAGTTATTGCAAACGGTCGTGTAAGTAAACAAATATTTTCTCGTTCTTATTCCAATTGTCACCGATAACAAAATTCAAACACATAAACGAATGAGAAGTTTTGTTACAACAAAACAAATATTGAATAATATACATCATGGGACATGAATCAAACCCTTTCAAAGTTGCCATGTTTTTTACTTTCTCCTCTCAAAACGTAGGACAGCTTTCCTGTCCTAACAAACAATATTACAAAAGGATAATTACACAAAAGCGTAATTTCAATCACCTTTCTCTACAAAAAGCTTCTTTTTTTTGTTCCACATTTTCTCAAGCTTTACTGAGAGCAGGAGGAGGGTCTCTCTCAGTTGGAGAACCGGGGACAAAAGGCACAAAGCCACGTCCTCCAAAGACGGGTCTCATGAAGGAGTCATCAAACAGTCTCCAGTAGTAATGCACGGTTCGAGTAGGCCGTGTCAAGAAGCCACGTATACTGTCAGGCCGAGGCACGTTGTGGTTTGCAAACTCGATGAACGAGTCTTGGTCCAGCAATGGGATCTGGATGGAAGTTGGTGTGTTGTTGTCATCAGATAACATGCTCGTTGTCGCTTTCTGGTGCGGCAATAGGCATCTTATCAGCGGTTTCGTCAGCATTCCAAACACCTGAAAACCCGGTTTAAGAGAACATACATTAACAAACAAAAAAAACAAATTAAGGATAATTAATATGTTATGTAGCTCAAATCTTACCACAGTGCTAAAGAGACAGACGGTTATAGTACTTGTGATCATGATTGCATTACCACGTGTATCCGTGCCTCCAGCTCTTGCGAACTGCAATTAGAAACAACTCAACAAGTGCTAAATTTGTGGCCTTTAAAGCTTCATAGAGAAAGAAGTCAATGAAAGAAATTATCTTCATTACCTTGTTATATGCAAGAGCCATTGATACAGCACCTCTCATGAGACCAGACCACCAAATAACTACTTGCATCTTGATGTCGATTCTCTCGCTTGTGTTCTTCTTGGCCAAGTTTGACAGAAACGACAAGGGAAAGACGAATGCTGCTCTTCCAAGCATGAGCAGACCTATTAGGATTGAGCTCACCGCGACTGATGTTCCAGGGCTGTCACTCACTGATCTCCACTTGTCAATGTCCAAGGCATCCATTCCCACGTACAAGAAAATAAATGTCTCCGCAAGAAACGACAAGGTTGCAAACGTATGCCTGTGTCATCGAAAATGCATAAGATACAGAGTTGATCTCAGCAAAAAGGTGGCGAAATTGGAGATTTCATACTTGGTGGTAATTCTTGAGCTCTCGGTTACGTTGTGCCAGGTGTAATGGGACATCACAATCCCACAGAAGAACACAGTGAGAATACCACTCAACTCGAAAAGCTACAACCAAATAATGTAACATAATCATATTTATATTCGTGTTCGAAATTCCTCTAAGAAATTGGTATAATATTTCAGAAAATCTAACCTCAGCAAGCATATAAGACAGATACGCCATAAGCATCATGAGGGCAACTTCTCGGTCAGTTGAGTGTCTGAGACAGAACATCTACTTTAGACCCAACAGGAAAAAAACTTACAGAAACAGATTCACATATGTTATAACCGAATATGTACCTTCCAAAGTATAGCTTTTTGATGACATACGCACTTATCAGACCGGTCTGTAAGATGAATAATGAAGATTTTAGATGGTGTGAACACAAGAGCTAAGAAAGAATGGCAGAGTAGGAGAGAATGGACTTACTGCAACACCAAGCAAGGTGCTCAGGAGAAACAAATACAAGAAGTTTCCAAAAAGATGAAAAGCAGCTTCATGGTTAAGGTGGGTGAGGTCAAAGCTCTGAATTGCGTTGAAGATAACAACTGATGTGGCATCATTCACAACACCCTCTCCGAATACAAGACTGTAAAGCAAAGGTGTCTCATCTTGATTCAGAACCTATATATCACAACACAAGACCGAACATAAACTTTTGGTCCACACTATGTTTCTCGGTTTGTTTAGTACTTTCAGTAATCAGAGAAAACGCATTACCTGAAGTGTGCACACAGAATCTGTTGCAGCAAATATGGCACCAATTGCTGAGAATTAAAACACAGAAAAACAAATTGAGTGCCCTGAAATGAAAAAGCAAAGCAATAGGAACAAAAAGCTATTGGATCAGGCATTACCAAGATAATCACCCAAGTCAAAGGTCCCAATGTCCAAGTGCTTAAAGAACTGTGTTACACCTGTTTCAAGCACCACCAGATTATCAGTAACTATACAAATCTATCTGGCAACCTAACAGGACCTAATCCAAAAGCAGCTTTAAACGGTGTTACAGCTAAACGAAATGGGAAGTAACGTACCTAGAGTAATGACAGTGGTAGAAATAACAGTCCCAACAGCACCAAAAAGCATAATAGTCACGAAGTTGCGGAAAAACTGCTTCTTTTTCACTTGAAACCTGAAATAGACAACAATAACAATAAAGATCTGAGAAAGCATACAAAGAAAACGAAGCTGAACAGAGTAAGTCCATGACAAAGACAAAGCAGGACCACAGACTTGCACGTGGATTAATCTTACTGATTGACCAAACACATCATGCTCTCTTCTTTCTAACAATCACAAGTATTACAAAAGTTGATGTATGACACGTATTTAATGAAGCAGAACTTAGCTTTTTCTAATAAAAAAATCTATAAAGCTTTTCGTTAACTTTATCACCTAGAATCACACAACGCATGGTTTTTCAAAACGAATTTTGGTGTAAAGTTTTTTTCCTTTACATCTTTTTTTAGGTACTCGTGCTCCTAAACAAACGAATCAGATCGTTTCATATATCATTAGTAAAATCTCCCTCTATAGCACTAAACCCTACCAAAGGAACAAGGAGAAAAAAAAAGACTCAAGTAGATGTAAAATGACTGACCCTGCATTGAATATTATGGGTGGCAAAAGATATATGAAGAAAAGATCTTCACTGAAGACCAGAAGATGTGAGCTTTTCCCATTACTAATCAACAAAATGACAACACCAGTGGCAAGTCCCTGCAACCAAATCGCCCAAATGTCATTCAAGAAGAAAGAAACCTCCGTGATTCCATTGTATATGAGATAGTAGACAATATTATAAGTGAACTTACAATCAGTAAGGCGGTGATGGATTCGTTCATCCATCGGTTCTCTTCCAAAAGATGGCCAAGCACAATACAAGCACAAAGAAGTGCAACAAAGAGATTCAATGACACCACAGAGGCGTGATCAGAGGTTGATAACGAAGGCATTTTAGACACTAGAGAATCGAAATATGATGCCAGCATTGTCATCTTCTAGATCCACCGTTTTATAGCCCTCTGAGTATATTTTCTTTCACCGATTCGAGTTACACAAAACACTATCGAGACTTCAACAAGTACAATCTTTCAGATTTGGATCAGCAAACCGGAAATCTCTTATATTTCCGTGCTGTCCATAGAAACAATTCCTGTAATAACATCACACAACAAAATCTAATAAGTTTCTACATGTAGAATAAATAAAAAAAAGGCTTATTTGAAGAGTAAAACAGAGCTGAGACTAAATATCTCTCTGCTTGCAGAATAAGTGAAGTTGTGACTGAATCAGCTTTTCATAACATAAAACATAGGAGTAATAAAAACGCATATAGTGATCCCAAATCGAAGACAAACGAAAAAAAAAACAGAAGAAGAAAAGCAGCACAAATCCCAAAGAGCTAAACCTATAATAAGTGACAACAAAAACCAAATTCTCGAAATTTCCCATTTTTGGTAAATACCCCACCTAAGCACGACAGGAATTAGGTTCACTTAATCGCCCAGGTTTTTTATCTTCCTTTTCCCCAGCAAGAAAAAAACACAACTTTTGATAGAAGCTACAGAAAAAAAAAAAAAACTGGTGGATCTGAATTGCTTACCTCAAAGCTCAAGAGATGATCTAGTTATCTCCAGGAAGAACTTCGTCTGGTTTATTTATAAAAGCTCAAGATCACGAAAGCAAGACGGAGATCGAAATTCAAATTTCCGAAGCTCCGAAGCTAAAGCCTGTGATTCTTCTTCTACGACCGGTGTACGAAGGTGAAATGTAAAAAAAAACGTAAGAACAGAGACGCGAATTCGAAGAACAGAAGGAGATGAAAGAGGAAATGGAAGGAATCAAGCAGAAAAACAGAAGAGAAAATTGCGGGACTAAGAATTAATACGAATTCGATTTATTTCTGGAAATAGAGAGAGAGACGTGTACGGTCTTGTTTGAGAGAGAGAGGGATTCGTAATTTTCTAAAAACACAGTGAAGAGAGAGAGAAAATAGTCAAGTTAAGGAGAGAGATTATTCTGTGTGGTAATAAGAGACAAATGGCCGATTTACAGACGTCGATTTAAATAAGCTGAGGATCTTAGTGTTTGGGGTTTATTGTGAAACTCATCGTAGCTGATATAAACCCTGACTTGTGTTATTTACTTATGTTGGCAACAGATTTTCACTTTTTTTTTTTTTTTTCTATTTGATTGTCTTTTGATTTACTTCTGTTCCTGGAGACTGAAAGTTTTTCAGTCAGTTTGCTAAATTATTTTTAATCCATAAATTTTGATTTCTTATTTTTTTTTAAATGATTCAGTAAAATCTAGTGCAGTTAATATGCAGAGATGCAATACTATGTATGAATATGTTGGGATGACAACAAATGTTAGTTTACTATAAATATTTGACTTATTTTCATTAAGAATTATTTTATTTTCCATAATTAATGCTAAAAACAAAATAAAAATATGATATGAATGAATGTGAGTTGGAAAAAATAACAGTTTTCTCATCTTTATTTTTATAGTATTAAAAATCTATATTTTAAAAAGTAAGATAAGTGTGAAAATCTTTTTGATCTAGTGGTTAATAAAAAGTTAATAGTATATGCACATTCGATTCTTAGAGAATATGAATTATGTAGGCTTATGGAGATAAACTTACTAGGAAACATTTAAAAACAATTCATAATATCTTTCTTAATTCATTCAAATCATCTAAAAGCTCATTAAATCAAATCATTCCAAATATTTTTGTTAGTCCTCGTTGTACCCATTTTCAATCATATATGTTAAGAAGCGAACGCAACAACTCATACAAAGATAAGTATCAAATGAAATTTTGTTAGAAATCCCAAAAAGAAACGAATTTGTTTTGGATCTACTTGGGACGGTGCAACCTTCTATTTTTTTAATGATCATCAGAGAGGCTACAGATCTTCTACTGTCTAATTCACTAAACAATATCTGTAATGTTATTCTTTTATTGATCCCCAATAATTGAGTTATTTTTAGAAAATCAAAATAGTCAGACCAATTAAGATTCAATCTACGTGAGGATAATATATATGCAACGGTCTTAGTCTAATCATACAAGCTTTGAAGTCTGTCCACGTCGTAGAAATTATTAAGCTGACCGAAATCTTCGTAAACAAATGGTATGAATTTCGTTAATACTTGATTATTAATATCAGATATATACAGTTGTCATCAGGTATTAAACGTGCAATTTAGTGCTAAGAAAGAAAGATAAGTTTATTACGTACGAAAAAGGATAATATTAACATATTTACATACATACTACAGCCGAGGATAATATTGTTCTCACTTCTCACAAACAGATAGTTTTCACTATCACGGTTATGTACAGAATATGGCTTTTCAAAGAATCGAAGGTCGTATCAAATATGTGATGTCTACTAAAGTAGGGCCAAATTCATATATAAATATAAGTATCCACTTCTTTTGGAATTAAAGATTATGTACAAGAATGCATCACCTACACATCCAATATTATTATCATATATTTCCAAATTCAACCTATTCACGACATGATATAATGGTTCTCTATATCTATATTTTTAAAGTAAATAAAATATAATAATAGGCCAATGACAAAAAAAAAGAGTAGTTCAAAAGTTAGGTTGTTCCCTCTTATTTTGTTATAGATTCGTAAAACCAACTCTCAGTTCTTACAAATCTATTTCTGGTTGGTTGGTAACTGTTGGATTGTTATTCAAGCAAAAGAAAGTTGTGGTCTTAAAAAGAAACTTCCTAAACAAGTTATATATATACACCAGTCGGCCACAGTGAAGATATAAAAGATTCAAAATACTGAAAGGTAAACACTACGCATAACACCAAAATTATTTGTACATGAGAGTGTCAAATGTTTCTGAAATTGTGTACAACATAAAAGGGCATGTGTCATTTTCTATAGCAAGTTCGATAAACCTCGTTTATGCATCATAAGCTAAAGGAAACATATCTCCTCAACGTATCCGATAATCATCGTGTGCCACACACAAAAAAGCTGCTTCTTGTTACCTCTCCGCAAAATCTCCTTTCTCCAGTAATTTACATTATCTGTACAACTTCGGTCTCGTTGTAAGAATCTATAATCCTCCTGGCTCTCTTTAACGTCATGCTATAAATGGTTTCACCTCACAAAACAGTAGCCAACCCGATCGTTTCCCCTTCTTCTTCTTTAGCTTCTGAAGTGTTTGCTGGTCCGCGTGATCTTACTGGAGGTAGGAAAAAGTGTTTTGTTTTTAATGTCAAAAAAGTTCGAGGATTATTAAACATGAAACTTGCGTCGTGCAGTAGAAGAGTTAGGGATGCTTACAAGTGACATTGGTGATAACATTCACGGTTTTCTGAGCAGCAAGTGCTCTCAAGTTATTCCCCGTACCTAACAGCAACAAGCTCTTCATGAGTTGCTTCTGCTCCTTGGGACTTGAAGTTTTCGCCACAGTTTCTTCGAAAGCACGTAAGTCGTTGGGAGAGAGACAAGGAAGTGAAAGCAAAACCTGATACCAGCGGGAACATTTTTCATCAAACCAATAAACATTTTACATATAAAACGGCAACAAATTCTTACAATACGGCTTGCAAGAGGAAATGAGAGTGGTTTAAACTGACCTGACGAGGAGCTGGGTCTCTGTCAGAGAGATAAATAAATATTTCCCGGCATAGATTAACTAGATCAGCGCTGTTAACGGCATTTGACTCCATGGCTAAGCCTCTAATGACCGCAGTAAACATATCTTTCGAGACAAATTCTCTGAGCTCAACGTTGTTTGTTAGAACAGCTAGAAGGATAACAACACCACAGAAGCCACAGACTTTGGTGGTTGCTTCCCCATCTGTCCATGAAAACACTTCCAAACAGATCTGCAGTGCTGGGAGAGCCACGTTTTTGTGGTTTAGGAGGAAACTGCAAAATACGATACATTGTTAAACTCTCTTTTGATCAAAAAAAATTACCAAGAAGAGAAGAGAGAACAGTATACATACCCAACCATAGAGTTGGATTTGAATGCAACCAAATCCTTGAGATTAGACATGTCCACACGTCCCACATAGCCTGAATGCTCCAAAATAGGAAGCCCGGGGTTTAAGCCAGGAGAAGCCATTGTTGAAAGGAGGCTGGCAATCTCTCTAGTTAAATCCCTCAGCAGTTTTTCTTCCATTACTTCAAGTTTCATGTCCGGCCCATTTTGTACGCCGAAGGAATCTGGAACTTTAGCTCTGCCCTCGCGCATAAGACTGGGCCAAGAGGAGCTGGTAGCTTGCTGACAATGAATCAATAATGGGTGTACGAGCACTGCAAGCCATGACTCCCACATTTCCGCCGGACAAGATTTGACTGCATATATTACAAAGGAATGAATGAGCTGTCGCATGTGCCTGAACTCCATCGACTGTATGTTCTCCGTGAGTGCCACTGTGACATAGTTAGCATCTACGCATTTGAAAAATGTATCTCCGATTGTTGCTGATAGACCCAAGACACAGTATCTACATATGCACACAAAATTGATGAAGTTTAGAAACCCAGGAGATGAGAAGAAAGATAAAAGTGCCCTGTGTTAGGCCTAAAGGAGGTTACTAGATGCTTACCCACTATCTCGGATACCTTTCAACCAATTTCGCACATCAGCTTCATTTGCCTCAGATTGTCCTTCTCTACCACCATCAAAAGATCCATCAGCATAAACAGACGAGGCTTTTGACAGTTTAGGATTTGCTTCCCCAAGAAGACTGTATCGTTCCACATCAGCCATTGTCATAGCTGCCCTCATCTCTGGGGGTAGTGTCTGATAGACTGAGGGAGACCAAAGGGAATGTATAACACGGAGCAGCTGTAGAAGCAATATATAAATGAGTGTTATCATGTTAATCTTGCGACGAAATCCTGAGCAGGTTTTGGTAACAACCAAGCTTGATTAGTTGTTGACTAAGAATTTCCAAGTTCTGAGAGAATATAGACATACTTTTAAGAGAGGTGGCAACATCCAAGAAAGATGGTGAGCCATAGGATGCAGATCTTGACTTGTTACCGACGTCGTATTGAAGTTGCTTTTTCTGTGTCCACTCCTCTTGAGTGCCTTCTCAAAGAATGTAACCGTGTGAAACAAAGACCACATGAAGGGTGTGTTGGAGCACAGACGAACAAGACCCATAGGGTCTGATAGATAATTATTCTGCCACTCTGATTGGATCCACTGTTGGCTCAATGGTTCCAACAACCAAGCAAGAACTTCTTGCTGCTGTTGAGCTCTGCACCAAGTTCAAATATTACATAAGAACATGATTACATGATATATCTGATATATTGCAACAAATGAAACTTCATCTTACCCTGCTGCCGAAGCCATAACAAGAAATGCTTCACCCAAAATGTTATGCTCCCCACGGAGCAAAGTTCCTTCTCTTTGCAAATATGCCATTGTATCAGCAATAGCCTGTAAAAAGCACGAGTTTAAAGATGAGGGTGTTAACATGAAAATCGGAGAGGCAAATGTGAACCAACAAAAAGAAAAATTGTCAAAAAGATGTCCCAGTGGACAAATGGTCATATAAGTCACAATCTATATAATCATGAACAGAAGACCTTCACATATGTTCATCAGTTTCTATCACACGAATAAAGTCATAACATAATCATGAATAGGCGAGCTTCACATATAACTTATCAACCAACAAGAGGTATTATCTTGCTTTAATTCGAACAAGCTGAACAAACTTTCCAGCCTTAAAATCTGAGTAATTACAGGTGCCTTGTTTTGTATCTGAGTCTCTAAACGGAATGAGTGAGGATCAAATTTACCTTCATGTGAGGCAAAACACTTTTTTCAGCGGCTTTAGCTATTCGTATAAAAGATGTACAAATCTGCAATCTTGCAATTCTTGAAGTACTTGTTGCTGGATCCTGCCAAGGAAACAAGCTATAAGAAAACTCATATACGTCTTAACTCTGGGCACTATAAATAAATGCATATTATATGTATATGTCCATGGACAAATTCCAAAACTGAAAATGTGACAGAAGGAAACCTTAACAATATGTGGAAGAGAGGTAAGAAGTTCAAATAATTTGTTGATAACACTTCCAGCTGCATCTGGGAAATACTTGAGAAAGGGACCCATTGCATCCAGATAATGCCCATGCATTTTTATAAGTTCCGGCTCAGTCCATTTCAAAGACAGAAGCTGCTGAAGTAAGCCTGCTCATCAACAACCCGATAATGAATGAATGGGGTTTCGAAAATGTCAACTTAGACAAAAGCCGGTAGGATATATGAAATGCTACCACATACCCTCAAATATTCCACGAAGTGAAAAATGAACTTCAGAACTACCACAAGCAAACTCATTTGATCCTTCAAAAACAGTTGTCACAATACAATCAAATGCCAATTGCTGGCTGTCCATCACTGCCACATCCTGGAAATGCATGTTTGTGTCATGAACACGTAAATACTAAATGTAAAAGCTAACTAAAATTGCATTAAGAGGGAAATGCAATTATTTATGAAAAACCTGAAGAGGAACTGGAGAAGCCAATAGATCCTTAATGAGACTGATAATCCTCTCGGATATTTTAGTACTAGAAACCAGAGGCTTGTGAGAAGCAATAAGCTTGACCAATTCTAACTGCACCAAAGAAATAAGTTTCTGGTTAGTTTGTTATCTGGGAAGTACAAATGTACAATTCAATGCATTTGGCTCAGGAACGTACAAGCCTTGATCGGTATTGGCCAAATTCTCCCTTTCCTTCAAAGTCATCACTCCAAAGTTCTAGTGGCCCAAAAGAAGGAGCAATTCGAGGAGGGACTTTTTCTTTCTTGAGCATTCGTTGAAAAGATACATCCAGGATTGCGCTAGAGATATCATCATTAATGAGACTTAGAATCTTTTTCTTTTCATTAACACCACCAACTGCTGGGCCCTCTCCATTTGGATAAACGGCAGCCTTTGGCTTTGAAAGTAAATCCCTCATTAATGTCTGCAAGACAAAACAATGGAGGACTAATGTCAGAACAAAAATCTTTATCATCTGTATGGTCGATGATTTCCCATGGATAGTAGGACTGGAAGAGATCATTATTAGAGAATGCCACATACCAGCCAGAAGAGCATTGCTTCAAAGTGAAGACCCAACTTAAAGTGTTGGAAGAAACCAAGCATCTGCAGTATAAGAATAAGAAACAGTCAAATAAACGTGTTCAAACCAACAGAAAAATAGTGCAAAATCAAACAAAGATGCTATAAACCACATAGTAATGAAACGTGAGTACAGTAATTGGACTCAGCTCAATGAGAAACAAGATGACGATAAGATAACCAATCTTTCCAAGGGTTAATTCATAATGAGAAAGAGCCTATATATGTTATCTAAGGACAAGCCAGTCATGAATTCAAATGCAGCTGCATCCTAACTGATGCTTTACTTTCCAGGTATTCCAGGAGCATAAAAGGCAAGTTCATCCACATCATTAAGATTTGAAAGGAGATAAAATTACATAACAATGTCAGTACCTGTTGAAGGTATAAAGCGAGAACGCCATCATCAGTAGCAATACACTGCAAGTTTGTTGAGCCTAAGGAAACCAAACTTTCACATATACTCTCAACAAACTCATAATCGCTTTCATCTATAACTCCAGCACATGAAGCTGATCTGTATAAGAATTCCCTGGAGACATTCGTCAGACTCTGAAACAGACTGCTAATCGCCGAATCGTATTCAGCACCAGAAGTGTCACTGGGTCTTTTTCTGCAGACAAGGAAAGCTTTTTTAAAATGTCTACTAATCATCATTTCAGGATATCAGGTCAAACAGCCCAGTTGCATACCTTGAGCAGACAAGTTTGAAAAACTCACAAGCGTGAAGACGGAAGTCAGGAGAAGAAAGTAAGGCCCCGCACCTATTACAAATTTGGGTAGCACATTTAGCAAGAAAAATAAGAAATCTATGCGTGTTAATGATTTGTATTAATCTTTGGAGTAACCTTACCCATTAATAATCCCATATCTAGAAAGATCTAGAACAGGGGCCCATTCGGCGTATGCATTGACAGCATTTATACAAGCCATAACCACAGCCGCATGCTGTTTTGCCAAGTCAACCTGTTGCCTACTAGCTTCACTCATCGCAGCTCCATAGTGTCTCTCGAGAAGCTGCATTTTAAGTAAAGCATTAGATTATTGCTACAACAAACAACTTGATGAGTGGAAAAAATTAAGGCATACATTATACAATAACGGCAAAATCTCAGGCAAAGATTCAGTAAGTCCCCGCAACAGTAGCCGACGCCTGTCACCTGAAGAGAAAACACCCAAGCAGAAATTAGAGAGGAATGAAAGGTAGTTTGAAAGGAATGAGAGGTACTTCCCCCTAATTTTTATGTGTCAAAATAATTCATAAAGGAAAAAATAGAACAACAGAACTAACAAGATTTAGGTGTCATTTTGTAGCATGATCAACTGAATTGTGCATTTATAATATTATAAAGTTTCAGAGGTCGGCGTATATGCGTTTTCACAGCCTCTCTAATTATAGCATGAGCATAAACTACAACACCGAAAAAGCATACACCACAGATAGAAAAATGTGAGAAAAATACAACAACGCCACTCTTAAATACCTTCCAAGTCCTCATTGTGAACTGTAATATCTTCAGGAAGCCATCTCAGCATCATTGCGACCACTTCAGCCTGGTGTTTAAAATAATTAGGTACCACTTTATACGTCTGCCTTAAAAGAAATGAACAAATTAAAGAATGGGAAAGCATTATACTTGTAAAGGGCCCTGTGTAGACAAGGAAGCTAGTGAAGGAAACAACTCCTGCCAAAGATCGGGGCCTTCTCTTCTAACTATCTGTAAGAAAACATTATCCATCTACACAAACTTTGTGAAAGCAAACACTAATGATGACTGCAGGTGAAACTCAAAAAGATTTGAAATCCTACCTCAGCTACAAGGGCAGCTGACTGACTCTTCAGAGACCATTCTTCACCTGGACTAGCGATCTCTGACATTAGTTCAACAGAGAGCTTAGCGAAATCCCTGCGCTCAGAAGGGCTTAATTCCTCCCACCGTAGTCTAACCAAATGCTGCAAAAAGAGAGAGGTAAATACTTCATAACATTTGCTATGCTCTTCCTAATATACTAAATGGTGATTATCCTACAGGTATATCATACAACATGCTGCCCTGAGACATAGCACAGAGTTGAGGTTGATTCAAAGTTCAAATATTGATATTGATATGGTAATCTCATTACAGGATTGACATAAGGTCATAAAAGTAAGAGCTTCGATAAGGTTAAAGAAAACCCATCAAATTTTACTTGCTATCCAAATACTTCAACAGAAGAGAAGAGAGTCCGTATTATCTCATGATAATTTCAAACTGAACCTACCAACTATTAGGAAACTAACTTTAGATTTTAATTTCTGAACTGAAAAAAAGGCAGCAAGTGACCTTAAAGTTAGCATGTATTCTACATTCATCATTTCGCTTTAACAACTAAATTTTTCCCAGCTCAGCACACAGCAGCATATGGATATTGGACAATAGAATGATATTCCAAACTTGACAGCAATACCTGTAGCATTTTGAAGGCATGCAGTCGAATTTCTGAAGAACACTCCTTTTTCTGGAGTTAAGGAAATGTTTGCTAGAACCCTGATATCTCCAGATTTAAGCTGCGATTTTGTAAGAAAACAGAACATTACTAGCTCAATCAAAACGAATGCAAAGACGTTCATAAAACCCTCAGGTATTCAAGAAATAATCTAATAAATTGAACAACATTTGTGCTGTCCGAAACAGTGATAGATGCAGGCAATTCAGGTCCAAAACAAATGTTGCAATCTATTTCGGCATAATAAAACTTCAGACAAAAGTGGAAAGAGAAACAGCTTTCCCCAACTAGTGATACACGTCCTAATGAGAGTTGAAGGAAACTTCCAGGAGCCAACCATCTACGGAAATATCTAGCTACATATCTGGAAGGATCCATTAGCTAAATAAGAGCGTGAAAGAAGTGGAAGAAGTGTTAAAGCAAAGATCACTAGAATCAAACCTTAAACACGCCTCAAATAGCAGAGCCTCGAGAAAAAAGCAACAACAGCAATCAAAACACAAACCCCTAAAACTAGAAAAGTAAGGCAAAACCTTAAATTTAATTTTTTTTCTACGCAGGATCACTAGTAAATAGAAACCTTAAAGAAGCCTCAAATAGCAGAACCTCAGCATTCCCATATAAACCTCAGAGAAAATCGCAACACAAATTCCTCAAAACCGTGAAAGCAACACAAAGCGACTAACACTAACCACCTATATTCACACGCAAATCGATCACAGGACACTACAAATTGGAGAAGAGATTAAGGAAAACTGAAAAAAAAGGTGAATTCATACTGATTCGAGGAATGCAACCGCCGCTTTGCGAGCATCGGGAGTGGAGTTATAATCGAGGACGGCGAGAATCGCTTGGGCCACATTGCTCGCCGTGTTATTGCTAGCATCCATTGTTTTTTCCGGCGAAAAAGAGCTTCCCCTTATCAGAAACCCGTCTGATACCTAGGGCGCAAAGGAGATTCCTACTCGTTTTCGGATTCTTTTCAAAATCAACAGCTCACGAGAAAGAGAAAGAGAGAATCTTCCCTGGTTTTAATGGGGTTTTTAAAGCCGACTTGAGAAAAACTTTCGGCTTTGGTTTGGTGGTAGCGTACAAAAAACTTTCGTATCGAAAATAATTAAATGCATATGTAAATCCTCAATATTTTCAGAACCATTAACATTGTTAAATTTTACATTTTTGAAATCCGATTCATTCAGTGAAAATAATTTACTTGCAGTTAATTGTTAATGCTCCATTTTTATTACAATCGTTTTATTCCGACACAAACTTGTATTTTCTTTGTCTGCTCGACACAAAACTCTTTAAAATGTAGTACTAAAATAAATTCACAAAAATATTGCCTTTCCCTAAACTGAAGAAATACAGATTTTTTTCTTCATCCAAGGTAACATATTGCCTTTCTCTAAACTGAAGAAATACAGATTCTACACTAGGAAAAAGTATATGATGTATTGTAATTCCTCATTCAAATTTAAATTTGTTAACCCTCTTTGTTTCTCATAAAATTAAAAATCAAAACCATAACCTTGCCAAAGAAAAAGATGAAAACTTTGAAACTTTGCAGCTGAAGAAGAAATCTTCAAACAATGGCTCTTTTTCCTTTAACCTTCACATCCATCCGCCAACTGCTACTGCTGCAGCCACCATTCCTCCGTGTCTCAGCCGCTATGTCAGAAACTTCCACCGGCACTAGAGGACCAGACCACATCTGGAGAGGCTCATTGGAGTAAGAAGAGAATGAGGTTGAGCTAAAAGGTATCTCAGATGGTTCAAAACGCCGAGACAGTCCCACTGGATAACCGAGCAAACCGTCTTGGTGTGGAGGAGGGAACTTTTCGCTTTTGCTCTTTGCATTTGCGTGTGTTATCATACGCATCCTCTGTCAAACGAAGAGATCAGATATGTTTGAAGAACAAAAGAAAAGAAAAGACTTTCACTTTTGACTAAGTTATATCTCTTACATCAATATTGGATTGAATCTCAGCATTAGCCTCTGGAACCGGCATTGCTCTATGAGCTCGCTCTCTAGTTCTCGTTCTTCTTCCACTCTCGCCTTTTGCTTTACGATTCTCTCTTACTCTGCAGCAGAAGAAGTATCAGAACTCAAACACTATTCATCCCTCAGATGGCGAAGAAAGATCTTCAAGTAAATCTGAAACAGAAAAGTACACAAACCTTCGATACCCTTCGTCTCTTCTCTTGGCATCAATCTCTTTAGTTGGAGGATACTTTGGGAGATCTATAGGTTGACACGGAAGAGGCTCCGTTGTGAAGAACTGTTACATCAAATATAATTCAAAAGTTTCAAACCTTTTCCGTAGACTACACACTCTTCAATGGTAACTTGAGAGATACTTACATCACTCATTAATGCAGCTGTGGCAGTCTTTCTCTCAGCAGGGTCAAGTGCAAGGAGAGTATCAATAAGAGAAAGTGCCTCAGGTGAGAAATCTTTATAAACCTCTCTTACACGCCTCTTATACTGCGGCAAGGGCTTGTGTTGAGCATGCTTATGACTAGAAGGTAACTTGATTCTCCTCCAATACTCTTCCGAAGGCGATCCACATAGCTTATAGATCCTATGCAGCTGCTCAACCTCGGTTCGACCTGGCATTATCGGTCTACCAGCAAGTAACTCGCCCAAAATGCAACCGGCGCTCCACAAATCAATACCAACACTGTACTCAACAACACCATGGAGAAGCTCCGGTGCTCTATACCATAACGTGACCACACGGTTTGTCATTTGCTGCCTTTTTCTCGGATCGAAAAACGTCGCCAGACCAAAGTCCCCTATCTGAAGAACTCCTTCGTCGTCTATAAGAAGGTTTGATCCTTTAATGTCACGGTGAAGCACGCCTCTGCTGTGACAATGCTCAAGCCCCGAGAGCAACTGTTTCATATAGCATTTAACCTGAAGAAAACTCAACATGTCAATAACAGTTTAAACACACTTGAGAGAATCGCTGAGTTTAAAACTGACCTGTTGCTCGGTGAATGTTATGTCAGGGCTAGCGACAAGACCAGCAAGATCGTGGTGCATGTAACGGAACACCAAGTACAAACTGTTTGACATTCTCGAAGTAACCAAGCCTTCCAATTTGATGACATTGGGATGATCTAGTCTCCTCAAGATCAAGATCTCTCTCGCCATAAACCTCAAGCTCTCTTTCTCCATTACATCGCAACGCACTTTCTTTAACGCCACTATCTTCCCTGTTAACAAGTCTTTCGCTTTGTACACATTGCTATACGTTCCTGATCCAATCTATTACCAACATTCCCCAAAAACACAAAATTCACAACACAGCAACCAACAAAAAAAGACAATTTGGAAAAAGAAAAAGGCTCTCACTTTCTCAATCTTCTCGAAAGAATCAGCCTTTCGTGGAAGCCAACCATTGAGAGCTTCTCCACAGATTTCAGATAACCAAGATGGCCAACCTGCAACGACCTGAGGATTACTCCGCTTTGGGTCAGCCTTATTAGACCTTTTGCTTTCTCCTTTTGGCTTTTCATTCTCCTCCTTAACCTCTGCAACAACAGGAACAACAATGCTACTAATGGTCTCGGGTTCGATTCTGGGCTCCTTCACTTCTTTTCGATTAGACTCGAGACTCGTGCTGATTTGGTGTCTAGACCCGGAAACTGAGTCTGATGATGAGACGGGTCGCCCCAATACACAACCCATTTCATGAAACTAACCTTCATTTGCTCAACATGCTCTCTACAATCCTTGACTGATTCGCTAATAAACTGCTATACATGAATGGAAATTTAATGGCTTACAAACAGAAATCATCTCTGGTAAACAAAGAAATTCAACTGGAAACGCGGAATTTGAAAAGGGTAAGAGAAAGTTACCAACTTTATGATAGAGGAGGAGCAGAATTAGCGACCCAGATGATCAATTCTGGAACTTTAGCAAGCAAAAAGCTTCAGAGAGGGACGAAAACGAAATGGGGAGCTGTGTCAGGCAGAGGAATGTAGGGATCTGGAATAAGTAGTTGGAAGCATCCTCACAGACTCAAAAATTCAGAGGAAGAGACGGTGGAGATGGACAAAAATGGGAGATGTAGTTGAGGAATGATTTTCAAAATGTTCAGTGAGAGAGAGAGTAAAGAGCAGAAAAAATGTGAACTTTAGTCTTTAGGATAAAAAGGAAACATTTAAAGCAAAAAAAAGATTAAAATTGAAATCAGTAACGGCTTTGGGGAAAGGGAAGGTACACACAAAAAGACATCATAGTCGACAGACCAAAATACAAATCCTCCATTAATCAAGGGGAAAAGAAACCAACTTTAGTCAAGCAAAATTAAACAAAAAAAGTCCCAAAATACTTAATTTCACAAAAAAGAGAGGATTCGTTGAACTGGTGAAGGCTTTTCAGACAGTAAAAACGAATTACTAGAACTAGAAGCAGCCGAAGATATGTTTAGCTGTAACATACAACAGTACTTGAAAGAGACGGCGTCTATTTTCATCTCTCCAATCAAAGAAGCGCCATTATTAAGACTGCAATGTTTACCAAAGAGGGAACAAAAAGCTAAGGAATCAGTGTTACATTCTGTATTCTTTTGAATAAAAAAGCATTAAACAAAAATTGTCAAGAACGACATAAACAGTAGAGTGAGTGTGTATTGTTGACAATTAAAGAATTAAGTTGGGCTTTTAAGAGGCCTATATGTGCTGGATCAACAAGACCCTCTATTTTCATGAGACAAAATCTGATAGAAAATAACTAGTTTATACAATTCCAAAATAAAAGCAATTGACATATCATCGTTACATATACAAAAAAAGCAGATGGTAACACCGAATTAAGGACTAGAATGAGTTAAAAGATTCTAAAACCATAATTAACAACATCAAGAACAACGATTCAAGCTGTAAACTGACTAAAAATCGATCATCTGTAGTATTCCGCCAAGAGCCATTATCAAATCCAGCTCACCAAGTAACGACATTGATCAGATGAGAACAGAGGAGTTAGGGTTTTGATCCGAATCTGATACGAATTGTGATGAAGATCCGCCGCAATTCTTGTCGACAGAGGAGCTACGACGGTTGATGGTTTGATCGAAAGAAACAATGTGCGAGCAAGACTTGTCGTCGTCGAGAGAACAAATGATATGGCCTTCTTGATCCGAATTAGAAACCAGTTGTAACTTTTCTTTCTTCTCAAGACACGCCATCAAACTCTTCTTCATTCCCTTTATACAATCCGCAATGGCCTCTAGCTCGGAGAGATCGTCACAAGAACGGTAAAGATCCGGATCTTCCCACCAAAAACAACCTAGCTTGGACTTGGGGTTAACCTTAGGAGGAAGCTTCCCGTTGAGGTAGCAATCGGAAATCTCGGAGGCAGTAGAGTATCCGGAGAAGGAGTAGAGTACGTCGGAATTACCGGCAAGAGGCGTTACGAGAACGGCGATGTTTGCACCGGAGAGAAGACTGAGTTCGGCGGCTTTCGTAAAGAGCGTTTGACGGCGTCTCGTGAAAGCCACTGCTCGTTGTTCTTTGGTCTCGCGTTTCTTTATTTCGATCTTCCTCTTTAGACCTCTTCTCACCATTGTTGACCCCGAGAGAGAGAGAGAGAGTGAAAAGAGAGTCAAGTAGTCAACGTACAAATATATAGAAATCGAGTGAGGTCGTATCGTATGAACCAAGTCAAAATTATTGGGCCTAATTAAACTCGGCCCATTAATTACTTGTTTAACAAGATAAAGTTAAGATTGCTTTTATGTTTTCTTTGGGTACCATCATCGTCTCTAACGAAAGATGGAATATTTAAAACAAAACCCCAACTGAAATGGAATCTTTGAAGCTGTTGTCCTTACTGCGAGAATGCACAAATGCCAAGTCTCTAAGACAAGCCAAGCTTGTTCACCAGAGAATACTCGCGGTTGGGTTGCGGAGCGACGTCGTTTTGTGCAAAAGTCTCATCAATGTCTACTTCGCTTGCAAGGATCATTCCTCGGCGAGACTCGTTTTCGAGAACGTCGACGTCCAATCGGATGTCTACATCTGGAACTCCCTCGTCTCTGGTTACGCGAAGAGCTCCATGTTCCATGACGTTCTTGACGTTTTCAGGAAATTGCTGAATTCTCCGATTTGCGTCGCTGATTCTTACACATACCCGAATGTGATCAAGGCCTGTGGTGCGCTGGGTAGAGAGATTCATGGTAGAGCGATCCATACTCTTCTGGTGAAGAGTGGGCATGTTTGTGATGTGGTTGTGGCGAGCTCTTTGGTCACCATGTACGCGAAGTTTAACTTTTTTGAAAATGCAGCGAAAGTGTTCGACGAAATGCCTGAGAGAGATGTTGCGTCTTGGAACACTGTGATTTCGTGTTTTTATCAAAGCGGGAACGCAGAGAAGGCTCTGGAGATGTTTGGAAAAATGGAAAGCTCTGGCTTTGAACCGAATTCGGTGTCGCTGACGGTTGCGATATCGGCTTGCTCGAGGCTCTTGTGTTTGGAGAGAGGGAAGGAGATACACAGAAAGTATGTGAAGAAAGGGTTTGAGTCGGATGAGTTTGTGAACTCTGCTCTTGTGGATATGTATGGGAGATGTGAATGCTTGGAGATGGCTAGAGAGGTTTTTCAGCTAATGCCTAGAAAGAGTTTGGTTGCTTGGAATGCTATGATCAAAGGTTATGTCGCTAAAGGAGATAGTAAGTCTTGCGTTGAGCTTTTGAATAGAATGGTTATAGAAGGAACTCGGCCGAGTCAGACAACGTTGACCAGCGTTCTGATGGCTTGCTCTCGTTCATCGAATCTTCTTCATGGGAAATTCGTACACGGTTATGTGATTAGGATTGTGGTAGATGCAGATATGTTTATGAACTGTTCCCTGATTGATCTCTACTTCAAATGTGGTGAGGTAAAGTTGGCGGAAACCGTGTTTTCAAAGACGCAGAAGGATGTTGCTGAATCATGGAATGTGATGATCTCTGGTTATGTCAGCGTAGGTAATTGGTTCAAGGCTGTTGAAGTGTATGACCAAATGGTGAGTGTTGGAGTGAAGCCAGACGTGGTAACTTTCACAAGTGTTTTACCTGCTTGTTCGCAACTTGCTGCATTAGAAAAAGGCAAGCGGATTCATTTGTCGATTAGTGAGAGCAGGCTCGAAGCAGACGAGTTGTTGATGAGTGCACTTCTTGACATGTATTCCAAATGCGGTGATGTTAAAAGGGCTTCTGAGATTTTTGAAAGTATGCCAAAGAAGGATGTTGTGTCCTGGACAGTAATGATCTCTGCGTATGGATCTCATGGTCAACCCAGAGAAGCGCTTTACCATTTTGATGAGATGCAGAAGTTTGGTGTGAGACCTGATGGGGTTACTTTTCTTGCTGTGTTGTCAGCTTGTGGTCATGCTGGTTTTATTGATGAAGGTGTCGAGTGTTTCAGTCTAATGAGTTTGAAGTACGGAATCAAGCCTAGTAGTGAACACTACTCGTGCTTGATTGACATTCTTGGCCGAGCAGGTCGGTTGCTTGAAGCTTATGACCTTCTTCAGCAAAAACCAGAGACAAGAGATGATGCGGAGCTTCTCAGAACTCTCTTCTCTGCCTGTTGTGTGCATCAGGACTATTCACTGGGAGACAGAATCGCAAGATTGCTTGTGGAGAAATATCCAGATGATGCATCAACCTACACTGTGTTGTTCAATTTGTATGCTTCTGGTGAGTCATGGGATGCAGCAAGGCGAGTCAGGTTAAAGATGAAAGAAATGGGACTAAGGAAGAAACCTGGCTGCAGCTGGATTGAGATTAATGAACAAGTGTGCCCCTTCTTTGCTGAGGATTGGTGTCATCCACATGGTGAGAAAGTTTATGAATGTCTTGCCCTTTTAAGTGGTCACATGGAAGCTGGTCAATGATTCTTATGTTGTGCCATCTGTCTCAATCACTGGACAGGACAACCTAACTCGTCATTTGAAGGGAATGCAGGGCTCTTTGTGGTTTTCCTCTCCAAGAAAGTTACTTTGGGAGTAATGCACCACCAACACAACAAACAAAGGAAATGAAGAAAAGGAAGAAATGTTGAACTGTTGGCAATGGGGTATGGGGCTGGATTATTGCTTGGATTGGCAATAGCACATGTGATTTCTTCATTCAACCCGGAGTGGCTCAGGAAGATAATTGGCCCGACTAGGCGCAGAAACCATTAGGATTGTTTTGGTTTGAAGTTTGTTGTCTCTTTATCTGATACTTTTGGTAATTGTGGCCTTGTGTTGATCACTGCCCTAGACGCACGCAAGGCATTAAACGTAGCTGTGGATATATCTTAAGCTATGTAATGACACGTAACATTACTTTCATACAAGCCGGAAAAGCTTAGAAAGTATAAACCATTTAGGACTATTTCGGTTTGGCATTTTGATCTTTGAGTGTTTATCAAATTAGTTGCTGGCGTGAGAAATAAGGCAAATTCTTATGTTTTTATCCAATGCTCTGTTTATATTAGAGCTGAATCTTCTATAGTCATCTTTATCATCTGCATCTATATTTATTCTAACCCGAATCTTCTTGGGGGAGAAAAAAGGATAGAAGAAAAAGCAAAGAATCATAACATATAAATTTGGCGAAAAAAGTCTATAACAGTTGACAACAAAATTTGTTATCGGAAGGTTAGAATCTTTGTTTTCTTGTACTGTAGTGTTAGCATGTTGGTGTGTACATTATCCAGGGTTAGTGTGATGTTAAAAAAATGTGTTGGGATTGGTTCTTTGCAACTCTACAAATCACGATGCTGCAAAAGTTGCTTTAAAGGGTATTGAGGCGTCCAATAGATAAAAGTGTAATATGATTGTGCTTGACAGATCTAGCTGCTGAAAACAACATGACGATAAAATCACATTTAAAAAAAATGAAAAAAATCCATTGTTCGTTTGATTTTTTAACTCTAACTCAATAGAAAAATACACGAAATGCACACATCTCCCACCAGTCGACGAACAAACCATCTCTCAATACATATAAAAGGTTTATGTGTCCGAGGTGATGCATCCCATAGGTGCAAGAGATAATGTTCAGTAAAATGAATGTTTTTGGCCAAACAAAATACCAAGAAAACATTATTTAGTCTACTCTAGTAGAATATTTCATCAATTTCTTGTTTCCATCATATATAACTATCAAATTTTCATGGTTTTGCATGTTTTATAAATCAACCATATTTTAATTCTAATGGCAGTGCATCCACAACACTATCACATAGTACTAGTAGTGTACATGCTAATTTATTTGATTTTGAATATTTATTATGTTATATCATCAATATTTAGTTTCATATGTAAAAAAAAAAAAAAAAAAAAACTAGAGTTAACTAGGTAGGTGAAGTTGGAGAAGATTAGAATCAAGCAATCGACAATTATGCAATTGTTACCATACAACTATAGATAATGCAACATATTCATACTTTTTGTAATGAAAATTTATACGAACCAAAATCTTTATAAATTCACAGTATTATGTTCAACTTTTGTGTCTCCATGGGCATGAAAAAGTAAGGAACTCCGATAATGGCAAAGCAGCTCAACGAGGAAAAAAAACCACAAACTTTTGCATGTAAATTGACCTAGCACAAACCTGATTCTATCCAATCATTTTCCCATTTTTAAAAATTAGTATGATTTTCGGATGCTCTAAGTTGTACTAATTCACCATTATTTGGTGAAAAAAAAAGAGACGGTAGAGAAAATGAGTGGAAGATGTTTCATTTCTGAAATCAAGACCATCATCATTCATTACCCGACAAACAATGTTTTCTTGGTTTCTAACAAATAAAACATTTTCTTTTCATTTCTCTCTCTCCCCTAGGAACTTACAAATACAATAATCAATTATCTGTCGTGGGTTTTATGACAGTTCAAGTTGTCTTCTTGTTCAGAGTTATGTAATTAATTAATAATAATGATAAAGTTTCTTGTTTTTTTTACTTTGTTCCTAACTACCGTTTTAGTAATAATGATAAAGTTACTTTATTTCATTTTCACTTTTCTCTTTTTATTGTCTTTTAAATATTTATCTTATTACAAGGGTTTTTGTTGTTTCTCACAAATAAAACATTTTTTCTTTTATTTCTCTCTGCTGGATTTTTACAACAATCAATTGTGTCAAAAAGTGATTATATCTCAGATGGAAGACCGATTCACTAAAACAATACACGAAATATACACATCTCCCAAAAGTCATGAATATAAGCAGTCTTTCAATGATTGGAGCATATAAAAGGTGCATGTACTAGAGTGAGATGCGTCCCATAGGTACAACACAACCGAGCCGTGCCAACCTAAATGGATGCCGGAAGCCAACAATGACAAAAATGTTCTTAAAAGCACCATTTATAATAATGTACTTACAAACATCCTTAGTTTAACATACAAAAGCCATAGGATGTGTATTTTTATTTATTCTATTATCTAAAAATGCACAGAGGATATATTCCTTTGTCAATTTATTTTGACATATTAGCCAAAAAAATTATATTCTCTTACCCTAAATAACAATTGCTCCATAATTATATTCTTTTTGTTATTTGAGATGATTCATGTTTTTATCGTAGGCTGACAAACGTCACAAAGCTATTAAGAAGTCCATATTTCTAAACTTTTCTTAGTTTTGATAAGTAGATGAATGTAAATTATATTATGTAATAATGAAATTTTTCTTTAAAGTTTTTCAAAATAATATGATGCGGTAGGCCAATGTTTCTTTTCTTCTCAAGTAGGCACGGCCCAAGTAATATACAATAAAATGAATGCTTTTGGCCAAACAAAATACCAAGAAGCATTTTTTAGTCTACTCGAGTAGAATATTCACGAATTCCTTGTTTCCATGATATATAGTTATTAATTTGACCTTATTTGCATGTTTTATTTATCAACCATATGCTAATTCAAACGAATTCCTAACATAGTCATAACAGTGATAATTTTTAAATATGATTTTGCATATTTATAACAAGAGATATAATTTAATATTTAATTTATCAAGGTTGACATGGGCCGCATTAGTCTAATGGGCAAAGGCCCATACTTTGCAAAACGGTGCGTTTCGATGGTTTAAAACACTAAATACCAAAACTCTCTCTCTCCCAAATTACGAAATTAGTTTTCAATCGATAAACCTAATCGATTTCGATTTTCTGAGAAAATTAGGAGAAAGCGAGAAAATGGCAGAGAGCGAGATTTCGACATGGGCGGAGGAGATTGAGCGGAAGCTTATGGCCGCAGACGTTTCGAGGAACCTGGCGGAGGAATTGAAGAGGTCTGTACTGAAAACCGTTGAGGACGGAACATCGGCGAGAAAGTACAGCCCCAAGATGATTGAAAAGGCAAGAATTTCTTCTATCAAGTTTTTTCGGATTGGATTGATAGTGGGGATGAAATCAAAATCGGGTCTTTTTGGTGCAGGCTATCGCGGGAGAAGTAATCAAGCTCTTAGATCGCGGATTGACTCACTTCAAACCGGAAAAATCCACCCCAAGCATTGTGATGTTCGTAGGGTTACCAGGTAGGTGAAGACCCCATTTTCTCTACTGCGCCTTATCTATCATGTCTCCAGTCGCTTTAGATTTACGAAGTCTCGGAATCTGTTTAGGGTCTGGAAAAACGACCACTGTTGCCAAATATGCACAATTTCATCAAGATGAAGGGTTTAAGGTGGCTATAGTTTGTGCTGACACAGTGGGTATTGATGCCTTGTCTCAAATCAAGAATCTTGCGAATCCTGGGATTTTCATTTACGGAAGGTATATTTTCTTGTGTTAGTCTTAGCTCTGTTGTTGCTGTGTAGCTTAGCTTTGTTTTGATGTTTTGTTTCTTTGTAGCGCCAATGAGTATGACAGTGCAAAGGTAGCTGTAGATGGTATCACGAAATCAATCAGTCACAAATGTGACCTTGTATTGATAGACACCTCTGGGTGCGGGAAACAAGATGCTGCTCTCTTCGATGCAGTACGCAAGGTTGCTAAAGAGACGGTAAGATTTATCTCTCTGTTTTTACTGTACTTGTTTCTCTTAGTCGCTGGTTTATGGTCTTAAGAGCTGATCGGTTTCTTCTCTTTATTAGAACCCGGACCTCGTTGTGCTTGTCTGGGATTGTAGTATTGGCCAAGCTGCATATGAGCAAGCAGCCGCATTCAAGGAAAAATTTAATGTGGGCGCTGTGATAGTGACGAAGATGGATGGCTCTGCCAAGGGTGGTAGTGCTCTCAGCGCGTAAGTATGGTTTAAGCAAATTCGATTTTCAAGGTAATGTCAGTGCCGTGTTCTCACATAGTTCATCTACTCTTTGTTTGTTTATTTGTAGAGTTGTGGCTACACAATCTCCTGTGACTTTCATTGGGACGGGAACACAGCTTGATGCATTTAAGGTGTTTAATGGGGAAGAGTACATAAGCCGTCTGTTAGGTACTCCTCAAATGAGTTTAAATGGTCTTTAGGTGATTGCTGATAGATGAAGACTTAGTGAAACTAGTGTTTTCTAACAGGAACGAGGATGATGGGTGCGCCGAAATGCCCTGAAGCTGCTGCTGCTAGATTCTTAATCTGTACGCTTATGTCCGAGTCCTTCAAGAAAGGACTCTCCGAAGCTGCTGGTGCAAACAAGAAGTCAACAAGTCATCCTCATGACATTCTCATGAAGTTTTTTGCTGACGGCTGGAATTATGGAGTTGCACAAGATGTCTCGTTAGCAGATGCATCAGTGCCAGTTTCTGAAATTGAAGCCGCAGGGTACCAGGCTGGGCTTCTAGCTGAGGCTTTGAACAATGATGGTGTAGATGCGGTTTCTAAAAACCCTGCTTATGAAAACCTGCTCGTCTTGTGGGCAAAAGCGGGTCTCTGTTGTGGATGGTAAGCAATTAAGAGGTTTCTCTAAGCCATTACCTTTTAACACTGCTATTTTTCAATCTTTATCTAATTGATCTTTTATGCTTTCTTTGCAGTTACTTGAAGAAGTTTGGCTTTACGGGAAGCTTGTGAAGTAGTGGTTACTTGAAGAAGATTGGCTTTACCGGAAGCTTGTAAAGTAGTTTTACACTTTTACACTTTAACTGCTGTGTTTTTCTTTTGATTTTGAACAGTTTTAACTGCTGTGTGTAAATGTCGATTTGACAAAAACCTTCTGCTTCTTCTAGTCATTGAACCTTGTAGATTTTTGAGGAATTAAATAGGGAATTAAATAGGGAACCTTCTAGTCATTCCACTCTCTTGCCTTTTTTATTTGAGATTTCTAAACCCCTACTTCGTTTTTTCACCAAAAATGGTTAACATGCTTTCTTTTAACGCTTTAGTATGTTTTAACGTATCTCATCACTAGTGTAATTTTAAGATTGCAATCCTTTTTTTGAACAAAGGATTGCAATCCAAGTTTTGTTTATTAACGCCAGAAACGAAAATACGATCAAGTATCCAGCAATAACCAGTCACAGTATCTGATTGGTACAATACAACAACAAAAGAGAGAAACAGAGTTGGATGATATAAGTCTTAAGTTTAACAAGCTCGTAATGAAGATTGAAGATCACTGAAGACCCACGTGGCACCTCCTTATCAATAGTCGACATAAATTCAATTTGCACAGTGAAGGGATATTACCTTGTTCTACAAGTACTTGGATATGGGACACTAATTCCAAGGCCCCAAATCACTTTTTAGGTGGGGAGATTCACCCATATCAAGATAAGTCGACTAGTAAGAGATTAGTTACTTTACAATCCCTCAGATTACGGTAAGTATGTATTTATATGTCGTCTATCTAGGAATTTGACGTTGTTCTCTAGTGTTTCTATGTTTTGGGACCTGCTTCGTAAAAGTTTGATGACTAGAGCATGATTCACGAGTTGAAATTCTTACTACTCTAAAAACTGTTTTTGTAAAGAATCCTTTCAAGTAGAAGACGAGAAATAGCTCACACACTTGGTGGGATAGACTTGAAACACCATGAAAGTGTCTATCCAGAAAAAGGGATAAAGGAGAAGAAAACAATAAGCTAAAAAACAGAAATTCAAAAGACATGCTGCATCCACTGATCAGGCTGTCTGATGAACAACATCCACTGCTCTTCGAACCAGACACAACTTCATCTTCAGCATTCATGATGCATCCAAGTCCCTAACAGCAGAAACAGTTTCGTTAACCACAAACAGCAGAAACAATTTCGTAAACCACAAACATAAAACATATACCCTACAAATCCTTTTATCACACAACATACTTCATCACAGCAGAGATACCCCGAGCGTCGATCTCAGCTCTTATGGTCTTCAATTCTGGATCTTGTTCGATTTGCGCAGCCATACGCTCAATAAAATTCTCTGCGGCTCTATTGTTCGTCAGGGTATTAGGATCCTGAGACAGAGGAATATAAGATAAAGACCACACAGGAGATTCAATGTCAGGATCAGAGGCCCCCAAGTGTGGATTAAACAAAAAAGAACAAAAAGAGTTTCTATAAAGAAATAAAAACCTGCGCACGGAGGTTATTACTGTACTCCATGTGTGTCAAAAAATCAGGGCTTTCCAAGACCTGCCTCACTGATTTGTGGAACTGTTCTTGGTCATGGTCATTCTCATGTATGTTACCTCCGTTGAGCCATGCGGTTGGAATACATCTCGAAAGCTGCTTGCCTAACCTTTGGAATGCAGGATCTGCTTCTTGTTTCTTAATATATTCCTTGACTCTGCTTGAGCTCTGAAAAGGCCAATCAAACCCGTCAACACAAAGGAGAGAAAATCGTATTCGACAGAATCTCAATTATCATTACCCAAAAATATGAAGTCCGACCCGTTGAGCCCGATTCCGGTTTACTTTCCCCCTCGTTTCTCTCATCTGCGGAACACATGATACAGTTTTGTCTAGATAAAAACCACCAAATCTTTGACTAAAACGCTCAACACCCACACAATCAACAATCAAATCTGAATAAAAATAACACAATACCTGAATTAGGTCGCACAAGAGCTCTCTCTGAATTTGAATTCGAAGCCATCCGTTCTTTTTCAGATCTACAAACCCTATACAAACAAAAACCAGAACTGATTCATTCAGAAACCAAGTCCCTTCACTCCAAATCCAACGAATATAACAAAGTGGTGGATCGGTGTCGTACCTTTCCAAGCTGTATATTTCTTATCGGATTTGGGAAACTACTTTCTTCTTGTCTTGTATTTTTTACGAATGACTTATAAGTTATAACAAAGGTACCCTTATTTATAATACTCCCAACGTTATGCCAATCTCGACTATGAATAACATTGTATTTTTATTTTAGGTACCTCCCAACGTTACGCCAATCTCGACTATGAATAACATTGTATCTTTTTTTATCTAGAACATTCCAATACATACACACTGCATATAATCGTTTTATATTCTCCTATATACTAGATTAAGACCCGTGTATATACATATTTATTTTAAGATTTTGTAATAAAATCATGAAAAAATATTAAACAAATTTTGATCACTTCTAAAAGTAAACAAAATAATATTGAAAACCTGATAAAAAATATTTAAATAAAATATTATTGTAATTGATTTACTTTTACATTTTTATTGTAACTAGGAGAGAACCCGCGCAATGCGCGGGTTTATTAAACCAAATATTTTTAATTTAATTATTCAGAACATTAGATTCGAATATATCATTTGTTTTTTACTCGAATATATTAGATTCTGTAAGTTTTGCATTTTGTTTTTTTTCATATAGTTTTAAAATTTAGTTGTTATTTACGTGAAATCTTATATAGACTCATAGTGAATAGTTTCATATGTTTTTTGTTCTTTTATACAATAATTTATCGACTGGAGTTGAGTTCTTCTAATTTTCCTTATACTAACAATCATTATAGATTGATTATTATCCTACAGACTCATAGATAATAATAATTGCAATCCTTTTTAAAAGGAAATGAAATGAGCTAATTAGCCAGTAAGCCCATTTAAAGCTACCATGGAAACGAAGAGGTCCGATAAATAATCAAGCCCATCAAAACGAACAGCATTACACATAATTTTGATTTAGATTTTTTTTTTTTTTTTAATACGAAAACGACGTCGTTTTGGTGTAAGACGAAAAAAAAAAAGATAAAGCGCAAAACGACGTCGTTTTGGTGTAAGACGAAAAAAAAAATAAAGCGCAAAACGACGTCGTTTTGGTGTTAGGCGAAAAAAAAAAAAAGAGTGCCACGTGTCAAAGGCTGGAGATTGTCCAAGCCTTATTAGTTATGTAGATTGATTTTTCTTTTGAATTCATGATATGACAAAATGAATTAATTTGTTTTACTTTTATTTTTATCCAATACAAAAAGACTTACACATGTCTAAATCTGATCAATTGATTAATTCATCAAACTTTTATTATTCCATTCAAGAGATTTTAATTGATGAAATCTTTATTTTAGTTTTTTTTCTAACAAAAATTGAATATTAAACTATTTAAAATTATATTATTGGTTCATTATAATTTTTTAATATTAGTTAATTGTTTGATAATTATTTTGTTAGTTTTCTATTTATATTGTTTCTTTCTCAATTTTGTTTTTGCCTTAGATCATTATAAATTTTCATTTTCATTATTAGTTAGTTTTGTTTTATAATTAATTTGCTAGTTTTTATTTATATTTAACATTTTTTCAATTTACTTGTGTTAACATATATCTTCACCTTCACCTGATCAAATATTATATACATGTAATGACAATCATTTTTATTTTGATTCAACTGATTTAGAGTTAAATATGTTTTCTTGATATCTTGAATTTTTTATCTCTTAATGAGAGAAGATTATATACTATATTTTGGTTTTTTCATTTTAGAAATGGAAATAGTTTTTTGGATTTATAAATGTTTTATAAGTCATTTTATAAACATTTTCTTTATATTTATAAGTCTATATTTATAATTTATAAACATCTTTAAATGTTTCTTTATTTATTTATTCTAAAAGTCACATTTTTTTTCTGCTCTTTACTATCTCTCTCTCTCTCTCTCTCTCTCTCTCCCTCTCTCACTGAACATTTTGAAATCATTCATCAATACATCGCCCATTTTTGTCCATCTCCACTGTCTCTTCCTCTGCATTTTTGAGTCTGTGAGGATGTTTCCAACCACTTATTTCAGATCTTAACAATCCTTTGACTGACACAGATCCCATTTATGTTTTCGTCCATCTCTGAAGTTTTTTGTTTGCTAAAGTTCCAGAATTGTTCATCTGGGTCGCTAATTCTGCTCCTCCTCTATCATAAAGTGCGTAACTTTCTCCTACCCTTTTCAAATTCCGCGTTTCCAGTTGAATTTATTTGTGACCCAGAGATGATTTCTGTGTGTAAGCCATTAAATTTCCATCTATGTATAGCAGTTAACTAGCGAATCAAGGATTGTAGAGAGCATGTTGAGCAAATGAAGGTTAGTTTCATGAAATGGGCTGTGTATTGGGGCGACCCGTCTCATCATCAGGCTCAGTTTCGGGTCTAGACACCAAACCAGCTCGAGTCTCGAGTCTAATCGAAAAGAAGTGAACGAGGCCAGAATCGAACCCGATACCATTACTAGCATTGTTGTTCCTGTTGCTGCTGCTGTAGCTGAGGTTGAAGAGGAGAATGAAAATCCAAAAAGGGAAAGCAAAAGGTCTAATAAGGCTGACCCGAAGCGGAGCAATCCTCAGGTCGTTGCAGGTTGGCCATCTTGGTTATCTGAAATCTGTGGAGAAGCTCTCAATGCTTGACTTCCACGAAAGGCTGATTCTTTCGAGAAGATTGAGAAAGTGAGAGCCTTTTTTCTTCTTGCACTTTGTCTTTTTCTTTTTTTTTGTTGGTTGTTGATATCCTGAATTGATGATTAGCAGAAAATTGAAAAAAGCTTTGCTTGTCTGCAGAAAAAGACCCAGTGATACTTCTGGTGCTGAATTCGATTCTGCCATTAGCCGTCTGTTTCAGAGTCTGACGAATGTCTCCAGAGAATTCTTATACAGATCAGCCTCATGTGCTGGAGTTATAGATGAAAGCGATTATGAGTTTGTTCAGAGTATATGTGAAAGCTTGGTTTCATTAGGCTCAACAAACTTGCAGTGTATTGCTACTGATGATGGCATTCTCGCTTTGTACCTTCAACAGGTACTGACATTGTTATGTAACTTTATCTCCTTTCAAATTTTAATGATGAGGATGAACCTGCTTTGTACCTTCAACAAACTTGCAGTGTATTGCAGTGAATTGGTGTATCTAGAAGATGACAATGCTGGCATCATATTTCGATTCTATTTTGACTAAATTGCCTTCATTATCCACCGCTGATCACGCCTCTGTGGTGTCATTGAATCTCGTTGTTGCACTTCTTTGTGCTCGGCCATCTTTTGGAAGAGAACCGATGGATGAACGAATCCATCACCGCCTTATTGATTGTAAGTTCACTTAATATTGTCGTCTATGATCTCATATACAATGGAATCACGGAGGTTTGAATGACATTTCGGCGATTTGGTTGCAGGGGCTTGCCACTGGTGTTGTCATTTTGTTGATTAGTAATGGGAAAAGCTCGCATCTCCTGGTGTTCAGTGAAGATCTTTTCTTCATATATCTTTTGCCACCCATAATATTCAATGCAGGGTCAGTCATTTTACATCCATTTGAGTCTTTTTTTTCTCCTTGTTTATGCGCTATAGAGGGAGATTTTACTAATGATACATGAAACGATCTGATTCGTTTGTTTAGTAGCACGAGTTCCTAACAAAGATGTAAAGGAAAAAACTTTACACCAAAATTAGTTTTGAAAACTATGCGTTGTGTGATTCTAGGTGATAAAGTTAGCGCAAAGCTTTACAGTTTTTTTTATTAAAAAGCTAAGTTCTGCTTCATTAAATACGTGTCATACATCAACTTTTGTAGTACTTGTGGATTGTGATTGTTAGAAAGAAAGAGAGCATGATGTGTTTGGTCAATCAGTAAGATTAATCCACGTGCAATCATGTGGTCCTGCTTTGTCTTTGTCATGGACTTACTCTGTTCAGCTTCGTTTTCTTTGTATGCTTTCTCAGATCTTTATTGATATTGTTGTCTATTTCAGGTTTCAAGTAAAAAAGAAGCAATTTTCCCGTAACTTCGTGACTATTATGCTTTTTGGTGCTGCTGGGACTGTTATTTCTACCACTGTCATTACTCTAGGTACGTTACTTCCCATTTCGTTCGGCTGTAACACCGCTTAAAGCTGCTTTTGGATTAGGTCCTGTTAGGTTGCCAGGTAGTTTTGTATAGTTACTGATAATCTGGTGGTGCTTGAAACAGGTGTAACTCAATAGCTTTTTGTTCTTGGTGATTAGGTCTTTAAGCACTTGGACATTGGGACCTTTGACTTGGGTGATTATCTTGGTAATGCCTGAACCAATAGCTTTTTGTTCCTACTGCTTTGCTTTCTTGGTTTTTCACTTCAGGGAACTCAATTTGTTTTTCTGTGTTTTAATTCTACAGCAATTGGTGCCATATTTGCTGCAACAGATTCTGTGTGTGCACTACAGGTAATGCGTTTCCTCTGATTACTGAAAGTACTAGACAAACCGAGAAACAAAGTGGACCACAAGTTTCTATTTACTGGTGATCCTGCCTGAAAAAAAAAATTAGATTTAAGGTTTTGCCTTACTTTTCTAGTTTTAGGGGTTTGTGTTTTGATTGCTGTTGTTGCTTTTTTCTCGAGGCTCTGCTATTTGAGGCGTGTTTAAGGTTTGATTCTAGTGATCTTTGCTTTAACACTTCTTCCACTTCTTTCACGCTCTTATTTAGCTAATGGATCCTTCCAGATATGTAGCTAGATATTTCCGTAGATGGTTGGCTCCTGGAAGTTTCCTTCAACTCTCATTAGGACGTGTATCACTAGTTGGGGAAAGCTGTTTCTCTTTCCACTTTTGTCTGAAGTTTTATTATGCCGAAATAGATTGCAACATTTGTTTTGGACCTGAATTGCCTGCATCTATCACTGTTTCGGACAGCACAAATGTTGTTCAATTTATTAGATTATTTCTTGAATACCTGAGGGTTTTATGAACGTCTTTGCATTCGTTTTGATTGAGCTAGTAATGTTCTGTTTTCTTACAAAATCGCAGCTTAAATCTGGAGATATCAGGGTTCTAGCAAACATTTCCTTAACTCCAGAAAAAGGAGTGTTCTTCAGAAATTCGACTGCATGCCTTCAAAATGCTACAGGTATTGCTGTCAAGTTTGGAATATCATTCTATTGTCCAATATCCATATGCTGCTGTGTGCTGAGCTGGGAAAAATTTAGTTGTTAAAGCGAAATGATGAATGTAGAATACATGCTAACTTTAAGGTCACTTGCTGCCTTTTTTTCAGTTCAGAAATTAAAATCTAAAGTTAGTTTCCTAATAGTTGGTAGGTTCAGTTTGAAATTATCATGAGATAATACGGACTCTCTTCTCTTCTGTTGAAGTATTTGGATAGCAAGTAAAATTTGATGGGTTTTCTTTAACCTTATCGAAGCTCTTACTTTTATGACCTTATGTCAATCCTGTAATGAGATTACCATATCAATATCAATATTTGAACTTTGAATCAACCTCAACTCTGTGCTATGTCTCAGGGCAGCATGTTGTATGATATACCTGTAGGTGATAATCACCATTTAGTATATTAGGAAGAGCATAGCAATCCTATGATGGATTTGCCTCTCTTTTTGCAGTTAAGCCCTTCTGAGCGCAGGGATTTCGCTAAGCTCTCTGTTGAACTAATGTCAGAGATTGCTAGTCCAGGTGAGGAATGGTCTCTGAAGAGTCAGTCAGCTGCCCTTGTAGCGGAGGTAGGATTTCAAATCTGTTTGAGTTTCACCTGCAGTCATCATTAGTGTTTGCTTTCACAAAGTTTGTGTAGATGGATAATGTTTTCTTACATATAGTTAGAAGAGAAGGCCCCGATCTTTGGCAGGAGTTATTTCCTTCACTAGCTTCCTTGTCTACACAGGGCCCGTTACAGGTAGAATGCTTTCTCATTCTTAAATTTGTTCATGTCTTTGTAGGCAGACATAAAAGTGTTACCTAATTATATTTAAAACCAGGCTGAAGTGGTCTCAATGATGCTGAGATGGCTTCCTGAAGATATTACAGTTCACAATGAGGACGTGGAAGGTATTTAAGAGTGGCGTTGTTGTATTTTTCTCACATTTTTCTATCTGTGGTGTACGCTTTCTCAGTGTTGTAGTTTTGCTCATGCTATAATTAGAGAGGCTGTGAAAACGCATATTTGCTAAACTCTGAAACTTTATAATATTATAAATGCACAATTCAGTTGATCATGCTACAAAATGACACCTAATCTTGTTAGTTCTGTTGTTCTATTTTTTCCTTTATGAATTATTTTGACACATAAAAATTAGGGGGAAGTACCTCTCATTCCTTTCAAACTACCTTTCATTCCTCTCTAATTTCTGCTTGGGTGTTTTCTCTTCAGGTGACAGGCGTCGGCTACTGTTGCGGGGACTTACTGAATCTTTGCCTGAGATTTTGCCGTTATTGTATAATGTATGCCTTAATTTTTTCCACTCATCAAGTTGTTTGTTGCAGCAATAATCTAATGCTTTACTTAAAATGCAGCTTCTCGAGAGACACTATGGAGCTGCGATGAGTGAAGCTAGTAGGCAACAGGTTGACTTGGCAAAACAGCATGCGGCTGTGGTTATGGCTTGTATAAATGCTGTCAATGCATACGCCGAATGGGCCCCTGTTCTAGATCTTTCTAGATATGGGATTATTAATGGGTAAGGTTACTCCAAAGATTAATACAAATCATTAACACGCATAGATTTCTTATTTTTCTTGCTAAATGTGCTACCCAAATTTGTAATAGGTGCGGGGCCTTACTTTCTTCTCCTGACTTCCGTCTTCACGCTTGTGAGTTTTTCAAACTTGTCTGCTCAAGGTATGCAACTGGGCTGTTTGACATGATATCCTGAAATGATGAACTTGTCTTTTATGCTCCTGGAATACCTGGAAAGTAAATCCTTAGTTAGGAACTTAGGATGCAGCTGCATTTGAATTCGTGGTGGGCTTGTCCTTAGATAACATATACAGCCTCTTTCTCATTATGAATTAACCTTTGGAAAGATTGGTTATCTTTTTGCCATCTTGTTTCTCATTGAGCTGAGTCCAATTAATGTACTCACGTTGTGGTTTATGGCATCTTTGTTTGATTTTGCACTATTTTTTCTGTTGGTCTGAACACGTTTATTTGACTGTTTCTTATTCTTATACTGCAGATGCTTGGTTTCTTCCAACACTTTAAGTTGGGTCTTCACTTTGAAGCAATGCTCTTCTGGCTGGTATGTGGCACTCTCTAATAATGATCTCTTCCAGTCCTACTATCCATTGGGAAATCATCGACCATATAGATGATAAAAGATTTTTGTTCTGACATTAGTCCTCCATTGTTTTGTCTTGCAGACATTAATGAGGGATTTACTTTCAAAGCCAAAGGCTGCCGTTTATCCAAATGGAGAGGGCCCAGCAGTTGGAGGTGTTAACGAAAAGAAAAAGATTCTAAGTCTCATTAATGATGATATCTCTAGCGCAATCCTGGATGTTCTTTTCAACGAAGGCTCAAGAAAGAAAAAGTCCCTCCTCGAACTGCTCCTTCTTTTGGGCCACTAGAACTTTGGAGTGATGACTTTGAAGGAAAGGGAGAATTTGGCCTATATTGGCAGTTAGTTATGGTTCTCTTGGGGCAGTTCAACCTTGTAAGTGAAGACTAACATCCCTTCTTTATTTCAAAAAGATTAGTAAAACATTGGCTTATTACTTGTTTTAACTGTCTACTTCATTAAGAAGCAGAAGAAGAATGTGATTGCTGCTGTTCAAAAGGAAAAAGCTGAGAAGAAGGTGCCTAAGTAGGTGGAGCGCTCTCTTCTGTGATGGTTGTCAGCAGAAGATAAGTCTGCACATGCGAGCATGATGCAATTCAGAGATAAGTCTGCTCCTTCAATCAATAAAGTTTAATTGACTGCTTTTGCTTGTTTATTTGATTTGCGTTTGTCTTACAGAGTTTTCAATTATGGTTGAGACTTTGTTGTATGTGTGTGATGAACCTTGTTCTTGAATCATATTTGTAGCTTTGACTGCTATTTGGAGGTTTGCTTGCTTGCGTGATCTTCAGGTGCCAAAGTCGCTTTCAGTTTCCTCAAGCTGAATTAAGATATACGCTTCAGCTTTTGGTAAGTATACTATACACTTCACATCAAAAAAAAAAGAAGATAACATTTACATCAACTTTGGACTTATACAGTATCAATAAAATGGTAAACTAAGAGCTGAGATATTGGAAAATGCAGATGGGAGCCACTCTTACTTGTTCCACCAGAAGGAAAAGCACATTGGTGAGCCCCTGAATTTGGATTCATCATACTTTCTTAGTTTGGTAAACTGGGAAAAAAAGTCATGTCAAGCCATATGGAGTACTTCATTTGCTGATCAGTCTCGTTTTCTCCTCTGTAATTACAGATTAGATGCGTATCGGTGCCTTTACTCTCGACTCTGGAATGTCACTACTGACTGAGAGTTTCAATGGTCAACTGAAAGTTCCAAGGGAAAGACAGAACTCTGTCTAAACTCTGTCTAAACTCTGTTCATGATCACCATGACTATACCTTCTTCTCCATGAACAAGAGTTGAAGTAGGTCAAAACTCCAAAAAGACAGATCTCTGTTTTTGGTTGTGTTCTATAACTATAGCCATGGAAAATAATGAGGTCCTGTTTTTAGGTTTAACATTGAAGAGTTTGTTTTGTATATTATTGTTGGTGTGTTTTGTGAGAGACTATGAAAATGAAACTAGTGAAAACAAAGGTCTCTTATAGCAAACTACCGTTAAAGCAACTGAAAAAAAAGGTCTCTTAATAACTGTTCTAAACATATTTTTATTGATAAAATAGTAGTAAGAGACAATATGGGTTTCACCAATAAACATGCTCTTGAGGGAGAAAAAGCAGACGATCACGACATATAAATTTGCCAAGGCAAGTCTGTAACAGTTAACAACAACGCCAAGGTGTTACAAAAAGATGACAAGATTTGTGGTATATTTCTCTTTAGCCTGCAGTGTTATTTTGCAAAGCACTAAGGGCTACAAATTTCTCTAATCCACTAACGTATTACGTATCCAATGTGTATGTCGTAAAGCTAACTTGTTTTTTTTTTGTAAATTTTGGACCTGTGAGAAATTTCAAACTAATGTGATTCCAAATTGGAAAGTTTTACGTTTAGAAAGATAAAAAATTGAAGTAACGTGGATTTCACTTCAGGATTTGAGTGGTTCTTAGACATCAACTTTGGCAATTTTTCTCCTCGCCTTAATAAGTTATCTCTATCTCAAAAGCTGTGTGGGTGACGTAGTTATCTCAAAAGCTTGTTAATACGAAAGATTAGTGTCATCTCTTCCTCAAAATGCTAATTGATTTAAACATCCAGGCTCTCACGTAATTGATGAGTGTTGGAGTGAAGCCATACGTAGTAACATCCCAATTTCTGGTATATATGGAGAGATTGAAGATAATTTATTTGGTTACCTATGTTACTAAAGTACACTTAGATTTTCAGCCAAATGTCCATAGAGGATTGATAGTTGGTGTTGATGCTTTCCCTCAAATTAAGAATTCTTTATTTGGAAATCATGACATCTTCTGTTTCGAAGGTTAGAATTGGTTCTTTGCTGCTCTACCAACGGTGCCAAAGATGGTATTGAGGCATCCAAGAGACAAAAGTGTTTTGTGCTTGATAGATTTGGCTGATGGAAACAAGATGGCGATTAAATAACATTTTTTTAAAACAAAAAATCAAGTGTTCATTTTTTGTTTTTTTTTAACTATTTTAGTCCTAATTTTTAAATTTGATAAAATATTTGAGAGAGAAAATGGTTTTACGCATGATCGAAGACTGCCTCAGCATAACAATACATGAAATGTACACATCCCAACAATCGACGAACAAGCCATCTCTCAATGGTTGTAGGCTTGTAGCATATAAAAGGTTCATGTGCTCCAGGTGATGCGTCCCATAGTGCAACAGACAATATCCACTAAAATGAATGTGTTTGGCCAAACCAAATATCAAGAAAACATTATTTAGTGTATTATAGTAGAATAGTCATCAATTCATTGTTTCCATCATATACAATTATCAAAAATTTCATGATTTTGCATGTTTTATTTATCAACCATATGGTAATTCTAATGGTAGTGCATCCACTACACTATCACATCGTAGTGTACAAGCTTATTTATATGATTTTGCATATCTACTACTGTTATATCGTTCAATATCTAGTTCCATATGTAAAAAAGTTTGAGTTAATATAGAGTTAACTAGGAGTTACTATAGAGTTAACTAGGTAGGTGATGTCGGAGAAAGATTAGAACTAAGCAATCGACAATAATGTGCATATGAGTTATTATTGTAACCATACAATAGATAATGCAACTTTTTCATACTTTTCTTGTAATGAAAATTCATACGAACCAAAATCTTTATAAATCCACTTTTGCGTCTCCATCAGCATGAAAGTGTAAGGAACTTGGATAATGGCAAAGCCGCTCGAGAAAGAAAAAGGCACCAACTTTTGTCTGTAAACAGACCTACCACGAACCTGTTTCAATCCAATCATTTTCCCATTTTTAAAAATTATTTTGATTCCCGGATGCTCTTAAGTCGTACTAATCCATTACTATTTGTTGGAAGAAGTAACAGAGAGAGAGAGAGTGTGGAATATGTTTCATTTCTGAAATCAAGATCATCATCATTCATCACCAGACAAACACTATTTCATCATTTTGGCAAATCTTTCCACTTCCCAACCCAATCAAAACTTCGCTTTTCAGTCCCTTCCTCCGTTGTCTCTCACTTGTTTTTTGCTTGATCGTATGCCTGTGAGAAAAAATATTGATTTTTTTTTTAATCTCTAGCTTTGATTCCATTTATGTATGTTCGAATCTGGTTCTGTCTCTCTGGCTAATGCTTCACGAGATTAAGATTCTTCAAAGTTTGGCCTAACTTCTTTTCTTGGTTTCTCACAAATAAAACATTTTCTTTTCATTTCTCTCTCTCCTGGGAACTCACAAATAGAATAATCAATTATATGTCATGAGTTTTATGACAGTTCAAGTTGTCTTCTTGTTTGGAGTTCTGTAATTAATTTATAATAATGATAAAGTTCCTTGTTCTTTTTCCTTTGATCCTAACTACCGTTCTACATTGAGTTGTCGTTGTCGTTGTCGTCTCCATTCCACTCCCACTTCCTCTTTATTTGTCAGAAATTGGATCTTGTTCAGGTTTTAATTTCAGCTGAAAAAGGAGAGATCTTAAATGATCCCTCATCAATCTCCGGTTAGCTCAATGCCAGTTCTTGAATCTATTGAATCGCCACAAACTGTTCCTTTGGTCTTCACCGATGTAAATGTTGTTCCTGAGCATCAAGGGAATGAGCTTGAAAAATCAATATCAAGCCTCCAAGGTATCTCTCCATATACTTATCTTCTGATAGTATTTGCTCATGGTAGGTTCTCTACCTGATCAAGAGCTCATGTTTAATTTGATTTCGGTGTGTATTTTACAGGAGAAGTTTTGGGATTGAAGTCGAAGCTAAAGTTATTGGATGAAAAGAGAAAGGAAGTTCTGAATAAAATTATAGACACCAAAGGTTGTAACCTTACAATGACTTTAGATTTGAAACTCCTTTATTTGAGTTTAATTTGATTGTTATTTGGCTTCATTCTCCAGGAAGTATACGTGTGTTTTGTAGAGTTAGGCCATTTCTACTGACAGAGAGGAGACCGATTAAGGAACCTGTTTCGTTTGGACCAGACAATGTTGTTGTAAACTGTTCTGGAGCTCGGAAGGAATTTGAGTTTGATAGAGTTTTCCATCAGTCAGCAACTCAAGGTTAGTCTGCTGTTAGGCTTTAGTGATTCCTCTCTTTTTGGTTTCTTAGCTTTCTGTTTCCTTCCAGTTGTGAGTAAATGAGGCCTTCTTCCTGTAGAAGACGTTTTCGGAGAAGTGAAACCGATTCTTAGATCTGCTCTTGATGGTCACAATGTTTGTGTCTTGGCGTATGGTCAAACGGGGACAGGCAAGACTTTCACCATGGTTAGTCATTCTTGATACTTAAATTTTGTTTTAGTCTTCTAAGCTAAACAAGAGATTTGTTTCTCGGCTTGTTTAGGATGGCACAGAGGAGCAACCAGGCCTTGCTCCTCGAGCTATTGAAGAGCTTTTCAGTGAAGCTTCATTGGATCATACACATTCCGTGACATTTACGATGAGTATGTTGGAAATCTATATGGGTGGCTTAAAAGATCTTTTGTCTGCAAGACAGTCTTTGAGGTCATATGAAGCATCAACTAAATGGCAAGTAGACTAGCTTTTTGTATCCAATGACTTATCTTTAAAGCCACTAATATTCTTCTTCTTTGCCTTTACTACAGCAACCTTAATATTCAAGTAGACTCAAAAGGTTCGGTTGAGATTGAGGGCTTGACTGAAGTGGAAGTAACGGATTTCGCAAAGGCTAGATGGTGGTACAACAAAGGGAGACGAGTCAGATCAACTTCTTGGACAAATGTAAACGAAGCTTCGAGCAGATCTCATTGGTATAGGTTCTTGATGGTTCCAACTGTATTTGTCATTTCAGTTTTTGGTAGTTACCTTTAATCAGTTTAGCTTATCTCTCTAGTTTAACAAGGATTACAATCTCTCGTCGTGGGGATGCTGTGGGGTCAAAAACTGAAGTTAGCAAGCTTTGGATGATAGATCTCGGAGGAAGCGAGAGGCTGTTGAAAACCGGAGCAATAGGACGAACTCTTGATGAAGGAAGAGCCATAAACCTCTCACTTTCCGCTCTTGGAGACGTGATTGCAGCTTTAAGAAGAAGGAAGGGCCATGTGCCTTACAGGTAAGCTCTTAGCTTTTAATTCCTTTTCACACACATATGCCACTGAAGCATAAGTGAAATAGATCTTGCTTTGGTCATGCTGATGAGTTTTAGCTTTTGTCTTTTTTATTGCTTGCAGAAACAGCAAGCTAACTCAAATCCTTAAAGATTCTCTAGGTAAAGGGATATGGTTGGTTATGATGATAATATGGGAATCTTAAAAGTACTAACGTAAGTCTGAAGTTTGATTGCTTACGTGAGTTAAAGGATATGTGATTTAACTTTTTTAGGTACTAGATCAAAGGTTCTGATGCTTGTGCACATAAGTCCACGTGATGAAGATGTCGGTGAAACTATTTGCTCTCTGAGCTTTACAAAACGTGCGAGAGCCATAGAGTCTAACAGAGGATTAATAACAGTAAGCACATGTACTATTGTATTTGCATTTATATACCATTTCACCGATTGCTGAATGTTTTCATCATCATTTCTTAGGAGCTTCAGAAGGTAAGAGAAGAGAAATTATCGGAACTTGAAGAAGAAATGAGAGAAACTCAAGAAAATTGCAAGAAGATCAGAGAACGGTTACAGGAAGCAGAGTGTTTGCTTAGTGAAAACAAGAAACTCTTGTGGACCAGTAATGATAGTTATCAAGAAGACATCGAAAATAAAGTTCTCTTACCTACCGATGCAACCCTAAGATCATCTGATAAACTTGTCAAAATAAGCAAGAGCTCTGGGTTTAAACCACGTTTCATGACTTCAACTGTTGCTAGTCGTCAAAGGCAGGCAATGTCAGAGAAGGAAATCAATGCAAAGGCTCAGAGCATACGATCAGTGGCTAAAAATCTTACTCAGCTCTCCACTTCTCAGTCGCTTAGCCTCTCTGACTCACGTGGCAGAGGTCTACTTAGAAGATCATACACAAAGCCGCTTCAAGCTGCAGCTAATAGTGCAACACCAGAAACGCCTAAAAAGGATATTAAAGACAAATATACTTCTTTGCAAAAGAGGAATATTAATGATGCTTCTTTGCCAAAGAGCAAGATGGTTACTTCATCAGATCCAAATGTGAGAGCTAAACTGTGTCACCACAGACGAAGAATGTCAAGCTTGACATGATAATAATCTAATCAACCAAGAAACAGGTTTTTCTTCTTGTTGTCCATGTCTTGTGAAAGCGCAAGTTTTTTATTGTGTTTTAGGGAGTTTTGGTTTGAGCCTGAGTATGGTGATGGGATGCTCACGGTTTTAGGACAATTTGTACTTGTGGATGTTGCAGTTCTGGTTTTAAAAGGACACAGCTCTCAAGTTAGTTTTTTTGGTTTGTGAATGTTTCTGAAATCTTTCTTTGGTTTTTATGGGGTTCACAGAAACTGGATCATAACTAATATTCTAGATTCTGTCTTCTTTGGGGGGGGGTTTCAAAGAGAGATGTGTGTAAGGTTTTGAGGGTTTTGTTTTGTCAATCTTGTGAAGTTCCTGTCGTGATGACACAAGTGACTTCACTGTTTGTTTATCTTACTTTTTTTTGTGTGTAACAATTCTTTATTTGTAATATATGATACATTAATGAATTATTATCTCTTTCTTGTATTACACTCTTTGTTTCACTCAATTACGACGAAATTTTGTACAATTTAGTCGAAGAATCTGTTAACATTGAAACATTTTACCCCCAAAATCTGTTAACATTGAAACAGTTTGTGATTTTGTGATCCAAAAAAGAAACCGCGTGGTTAAATTCGACCGGTCCAGCTTTCATGTTGGATTAGACGGATCAACATCAACCTATAAAACCCGGTCCGAGGCGGTTAATTTCCCAATTCCCATCTTATAAAATTTGTAACCGGAAGAGCTCAAGAGATTTGTCCTTGTCCATTAATGGCGATTTTATCGTCGTCGACCTCATCATCATCCTCGGCGATGCTGCAGAAAGGAATCGTTGTTACTGTTCCAGTTCTGGTTCTATCCGCGTTGTCTTCGGCGGTTATCTTCTTCACCCTATCGTTTTTTCTGTCTTACTGCTCATGCCCTTCATCTTTACCCTCCCAGAACGACGCGGTTCTCGCTCCCGCTGCCGTCGGCGGCGGCGGCGATGTGAGGTCGGAGGAGAGGATATCGACGTCGCAAGAGGATATCGATTGGGTTAAAAATTTGATTAAATCGAACGGTTTGCACATGCATGATAATGTTCTCCGGAAAGGTATCAATCCTCGCACAAGAGAACAGCAGCTCCAAGATCTTTCACAGTAATCTTCTCCACTCTCTCTTTCGTTTTAATTTAAAATCACTTCACAAATCAAACTTTTTTGAGAGGAGTTTGTTGCTTTAATTGTTGAATTATGGCAAATCTATATGAATTTCTAGTGAGAGCAAGAGGATCAGAATGTAGAGCTTGCAATTCAATTGTTACTCATTGTTGGTTTATATAATAGTGTTGGTCCACCAAGAGATCCTAACAACTAACAAGTAAATCTAATATAGAGATTGAATATCTAGGAAAATTACAAATAATAACAACCATATTTTTCTTTGTAGAATTTTGGTGTTGTATTGGTTTCATATTAATGCCAACATTCTTGACAAATAGTGATGAAATTCTTAATTTTACACTGTTTTTGGGATCATTCAGGTACAAAGGCGTATCGCATTACGAAGGAGAAGAAGAAGCAAGCAACCACACAGCTCTTCCATGCCCTGGAGAGTTACTTGTTGAGGAGCATCACAGCAACTACGGTGAGCCATGGGCTGGAGGGCGTGACGTGTTCGAGTTCTTAGCCGAAGCATCACAGCTGAAACCTAACGCTAGAGTCCTGGAAATAGGATGTGGTACGCTTCGTGTTGGTTTGCATTTCATCCGGTATCTCAATTCCGGGAACTTCCACTGCCTTGAGAAAGACGAGCTTTCTCTAATGGCTGCGTTGAGGTACGAGCTTCCTTCTCAGGGTCTTTTGCACAAACGGCCTCTTATCGTTAGAGGGGATGATATGGAATTCAGCAAGTTTGGGCCAGATGTTGCCTACGATCTTGTATACGCGAGTGCGGTGTTTCTCCATATGCGTGATGAGCTTGTTTGGACTGGACTTGAGAGGCTGGTGGGGAAGTTGAAGCCTTACAAAGGGAGGATATTTGTGTCGCATAATATAAAGTTTTGTACGCGTTTGGGAGGAGATAAATGCAATGAGAGGTTAGCGAGCTTGGGACTTGAGTCACTTGGGAGACAAACACATGATAGTTTGCTGTTTAATCACTACGAGATCTGGTTCGGGTTTAGGCGGATCAAAGGATGAGTATGATTACACGGCTCCATCCAAAGAGGATTGGATCGATTGTCTTTAACATATAGTTTTACAGATATAGTAGTGAAGTACAGAGAGAGTCATGTATTTATTAATTATAGTTGACAAATGATTCGAGATGGCTACGCTTATTTATTAGTTTGTTTCAGTTTTCAAAGAGTTGTAGTGTTGTGTCTTGTAATTGGAATACATTTACATTGATTATAACTAATTTACACTATCTTTATAAGAAAATGTTGTATGTGTAGCTGTTTTGGTCTCAATCTCTCAATTCTCAAATGTCAAATCTCAATAAGCGTTCCTTTCTTAAATGAAAAGAAGTAATCTTGGAGGCACGTGACATGCGCGTGCTTAAGATACTCGGCTCGAATCTGACTCGTTTTTGTGTTTTTTCGCTATCTGAAAGATCTTTTCCTTCGATTTCCATTTCCACCTTCGTTCTCGATCGGAGCTTTGTGCCCGATCTCGATGCTCGTCGATTTCCCGATTCAGTTATTTACCTGGTAGAATCAAAGTGGCGCGAAAACCCTAGCATAGGAGTTGCTCTCTCCCGAAAATCTCAAAGTAACGAAAATGGCTCTGGTGGCGGCCTTGGAGGCGGATCTTCGCGCTCTCTCCGCGGAGGCGCGGCGGAGGTACCCGGCTGTGAAAGACGGAGCTGAGCACGCAATCTTAAAGGTTTGGTTTTCCCCAGAGTAATGTACATGTCTGCTGTTCGAGCTTGATTTCACTGTGAAAATGGAGATGTAGTGGCGTCTTTCAATTTGGTGTTTTGTTTTCGTTAGTTCACGCATATGCTTTTCAAGTGACACTCTAAGATTGAATGTGCCTTCGATTGATCATGTAAAGAGTAGATTAAGTGCATCTATATTCTGAGAATCTTTGTTAGAATGTAGCTAGTGAATTGAATTGCAAGTGCCTTACAGTTCAAGCAGTGAGACTAATTGCCTGGAAAATAGTTGACTTATCTATATATTTGTTATTGTTTTCCAGCTTCGTTCGTCATCAAGTGCAAGTGAGCTTTCAAGCAATGAAGACATTCTTCGGATCTTTCTGATGGCATGTGGAGTCAGGAATACAAAACTTAGCGTTATAGGACTTTCGTGCTTACAGAAGCTTATATCTCATGATGCGGTTGAACCATCTTCTCTGAAGGAGATACTTTATACCTTGAAAGATGTAAGTGAGAGTTTCTGTAACTTCTCTAAATTAACTATAAAATTTTGTGATCGTTCTGTAAATGCAATGCAAAACATTTGAATTTACCTGAGAATTAAAGTTCAGCTCTTCATCCATGTTGAATTCCAACATTCATTTATCTTTGAAGATAACTTTTGACAGACTTAAATCTTTCTAGGACGTAAAATTTCTCCTAGAGACATGACTTCTTTTGTTTCTAGTATTGAAAAAGCGAAACAGATTTACATTTGCTTTTTATTGCGAAAAGCTACACCTAACACAGTCTTTCCTTACTCGCAGCATTCGGAAATGGCAGAAGAAAATATCCAACTAAAGACTCTACAAACTATTCTAATAATATTTCAATCTCGCCTACATCCTGAAACCGAGGTAAATACGACAAGCTTGGTTTAGTAAGAATGGAAGTCTAACGCATAATTTCTGATAGACTAAGTGATAATTTCAATCTATAAATCAGTCATTGACGTAAACAAAAGTTAAATACTTTTATGCAGATGTAAAATCATTAGTTCTCCATAAATCTGCTTCCTTGTGGCTTTGCTATTCAGTGAGGCTTTAGCTTCTTTCTTAATTCCAGGATAATATGGTTCTGGGACTAAGCATCTGTCTTAGGCTTCTTGATAACAACCGACTTCCTAGTGTTTACAAGTAAGTAGCTTTCATACACACCTTACCTCATTACTCCTACGGTATTTTTTCTTTAAACGTTTTTTACTTTGTCAAACTCAAAAAAAACCTTTTTTTGTGTGGTCTCCCAGTACTGCTGCAGCTACCTTCAGGCAAGCAGTTGCGTTGATTTTTGATCAAGTGGTTTCGGCGGAGTCTCTTCCTATGCCTAAATTTTATTCTAGCAGTCAAACACCAAGGACTGGCTCAGTTGCTGGAGATTTAAGTCAGAATATCAATAATTCAGAGTATGTCAGTCCTCATGTTTCTATTTGACTTACTATTTTAACTCATTTTTTGAACTGTCTTACTGTCAAGATATATATTTTATGCTTTTGTGGACTTTTGGTTATTTTTTATAAACAGTGGGTGATGCAATCTTTATATGCTGGTTGATTTGTGTTTTTCCTGATAGAATGAAAGACATACCTCTCTATTTAGAACTCGTGCTTTATCCAGTTGGAACCTTTGGCATTTGGTGTAACACTTATCTAATAGACTAATTGAAATATGAAAGCAGGCCCTTGGAAAAAGATGTTATCTCTGGTCGATTGACAATGAGAGACACCCTGAGTGATACCGGGAAACTTGGTCTGCGGTTGCTTGAGGACCTGACTGCCTCAGCTGCAGGTGGATCTGTATGTGTTAATTCAGCTATATTGATACTGGTTCTTTATATCTTCTCCAGCTAGTGTCGTTAATAGGATTTCACCTAGGTTAATTGTTATGTTCATGTTTTTACAGGCAGCTTGGTTGCATGTTACTTCTCTTCCAAGGACCTTTTCCCTCGAACTAATTGAGTGAGTTAGCTAGGCTTTTTTTTTCTAAATGTAGTTGCACATGTTGAAATGGACTGAAAATCATGTTTTAAATGCACGGGCTCTCAACTTTGCAGGTTTGTTTTGTCGAACTATATCTCAGTTTTTAAGATACTACTTCCCTACGAACAGGTAATGCAAGGCTTATATCAAATGGGCACTTGTCATTCTTTCATTAACACGATGACCTAACTGTAAAAGTTTACGTGTTTATTCATCAGGTTTTGCGTCACCAAATCTGTTCCCTTCTGATGACATCTCTTCGGACCAGCTCAGAGGTAAAATTATGCCTCTTTGCCTTTGTATCTTTTTATACTTCCACGTGATCTGGAATAAAACCTGACAAGCATTAAAGCATATCTAAATACGATAACTCATGGAAATAAGTTTATTACTTCTCAGCTTGAGGGAGAAATGGTTGAGCCTTATCTTCGCCGGTTGGTGCTGCGGTCAGTTGCTCATATTATTCGACTGTATAGTTCGTCTCTCATTACAGAATGCGAGGTACAGTATGCACAACTTTCCTTGTCTCCTGTAAACTTTTGTGCTTTTGACTGCAAAGGAACAAGGACTTGAAACATTTTCTCCTGTTGATTATGATATTTACAAGTTTTCTTTACTGATGTGCGTCCATTCCATTTCTCCTTGTGCAGGTGTTCCTAAGTATGCTTGTAAAAGCTACATTTTTAGATTTGCCATTGTGGCATCGCATTCTTGTTCTTGAGATTTTGCGGGTAATCATTACATTCCATTATTACTACTTTCATATGTATGTACGACAATTAGGAGTTTGTTCTCAACTTCTTTTCAGTTCACATTTTTATGATCTCTTGTGTATGTGCATTGAATAGGGATTCTGTGTCGAGGCAAGAACATTACAGATTCTTTTCCAGAACTTTGATATGTAAGGCTACTTACATCTATTTGTGTCCTTGTGATGCACCCAATGTTGCAAGTCAAGGAAACTAGTCTCCCCATCTTGTTATTTCTTCATACTGTGCAGTTGAACAAGTTTCTAAATCTTAAGAGTCTTTCTTGTGGCTTTCAATATGAACTTTTGATAAAGATTGTAATGTTATGTCTTATGACTGTGTTATAGAAGTTCTCTGTTCGTCCTGATTAATTCTGGGGATCATGTTCCTTCTGTGATCTAATAGTAACTTTACCTTTCAAGGCACCCTAAAAATACAAATGTTGTGGAGAGCATGGTCAAAGCGCTTGCTCGAGTTGTTTCTAGCATACAGGTGGGTCTATAAAGGCAGGTCTCCTGTTATGTTTCCTGTAGTCTCGATTTGCTTGAGTTCCCGTAGTCGCTATTTTTATATATTTTTAAGGTTGCTCGTAAAAGTTTTTTTGGAAGAAATTCAGCAACTATAAAGTGGCTTATTTAGCTTAATAATTGACGTCTCAAAACAGGAGTAAAAACTTGTTACATGGCTTGATTCTCGAGTTTGTTTTCTTGAAAGTAGTTTCAGGAGACGAGTGAGGAAAGTCTAGCAGCTGTTGCTGGGATGTTTAGTAGCAAAGCTAAAGGTATTCATAAATTTTGTTGCTATGGTGATTAAATATTACCTCAGGACCTCAGAATTGTATTATTTTTTCTTCACTCATATCATTATATATATATTCTTTCCACTGCTGTAGGAATTGAATGGATTCTTGATAATGATGCTTCCAGTGCGGCTGTTCTCGTCGCGAGTGAAGCTCATGCAATAACTTTGGCAATCGAAGGCTTACTTGGAGTTGTTTTTACAGTCGCTACATTAACAGATGAAGCAGTAGACGTTGGGGAGGTAATTGATGCAGGGTTCTCCTCCACGATACCATTTGAATGTTTGAATAACATAATTTTATTTCTACTCTTTGCCTGCTTGTCTCTTTTTCATACTTTCCTTTCCTTTTTACAAATCACCAGCTTGAATCCCCCAGATACGAGCATCATCCTTCGTCAGAGTATACTGGGAAAACCTCAAATCTATGTATCTCAATGGTAGATTCATTGTGGTTGACTATACTCGACGCATTTTCCCTTATTTTATCAAGGTATAATAGTCCTTCTACCTGACTATACATTGACTGTGAAGATGCAAACACTGAGGACTTTGTTTGATATAATTGTTCTTGAAGGTCACAAGGAGAGGCAATCGTATTGGAGATACTGAAAGGATATCAAGCATTTACTCAGGTAAATGCAAACCAGATTTAAAGTTTCCATACGTGATGTGGCTGCTCGGCAATGTGCGGCATAAACATGTCTTGCTTCCTCCTTCTACATTGCAAACTAACCCTATGATGTCTACCATCCGG